CGACTTAGTGTCCGGTCCATGCGCAGCGCCGAAAGCGTGGCCTCTAGCTTGGCCAAGGACGCGTCGACGACTGCAATGTCAATGGGCGAAGCGCTCGGGAGCGCAGCGAGGGCGGCGTCCAGCGCGTGCTGGGCCGTGCCAAGAGACTGGAGGACCATCAAGAAGGTAGGGAAGTGATGTGATGCGGGCCGGGCTCCCTATCCGGATACCAGCTGGTCTTCGCGGTCGGCCATTCGTCGAGACGCGACGTATCTGCCCACTGTATCCGGATGACCGTTACTACAAGGGATAGCCAATGAGACGGCGAGTAGACATTGATTTCGACCAATCCCCGATGGAATAAACGACGAAGGCGTAGAGAAGCGCGGACATGTCCCCGGGCCCCCTCTTTTTTACTGAAGTTGAGAGTGGCATCGACGGACGCGCGTCGTTGCCGGCAATGGCAATCGCCGCATGCGAGGAACTCCCTCGTCGAAGTCGCCCGCCTTCTCGGCGCCTTGTCCCGCGAACCCGCGCGAAGATGCACTTTGAAACACGAAACGCCTTTTTGATAACGTGGCACGCTGGTATCGCATCTTGGATTGCAGAGGTTCATCGACACTGCTACATAAACCAGGCGCTGTCCGTGAAGCCGCGCAGGAGCTTGAACCGCCGTGGCCCTGGGCCAGAAACGGGCACAATGCAATGAAAGACTGCTGCAGGATCGTCGGCAGTCTCGTCGTCGGCAATCGCGATGCTCAGATCGTCCAACTGCCGGTCAAGACTCGAGCTGAGGCTGAGACGCACAACGTGCGTGGCGACGCCTCTTTTTTGCACACGAGAAAGCAGTCGACACCGCGCTGCCCGAGGGTGGGGTACTGCTTGTAGCGAGGGCTTGCTGCAAAAGCCTCGTAGATAGACCCGCCCGACTCGACGACGTCGCCCCGCTCCGGCACGAAGCAGCGCACGAGGCGAAGAATGGTCCGCTCTTTAAAGCCGTTGTACAGTTGACTGGCGTATGACGACGTCGACATGCGCGTGAGCTGACCGAGGCCCGCTGGACGAAGAGTGCTGCTCGTACAAAGGACATTTCTGCCCTTGCGCGGACGATACCGACTGCGGCCCAAGCCGTAGACAAGCGGGATGCTTCCGATCATGACGGAGATGGCGATGCACCCCAGCGCGACCTCTTGTTGGTGATCGGGGTCAGTCATCGCAAGGACTCGGAAGAGCCAAAAGTAGAGGACCACGAGAGGGGTGTTGGCCGGCACGTACAATAGCGGGATCGCAAAGACTGTGACACCTATCGCCATGAGCGTCTTGTCGACTTCGGTAAAGCAACTCTCTTTTCGCCATTTCTTGAGTGCCTTGCCCAAGAGACAGAGCGCCAAGTAGGCAAACCAAACCTAGAGACAGAGCCAACATAGTGTAGAGTTGGAATCGTGGAGGGGGTTACCGTGCGAGAAAAGTAGAGGAACGCGATAAAGAGGTAGTAGACGTCCAAGACTTGGGTGGCCCGTATCGCGGCGATGCCGATCGACTCAATGCTGAGCCACACATCGATCGAAAACAAGATGCACACGACGGGGCTGCGCAGCACGATGGACGTCGGATCGCCCATGACAAGCTCATAACTCCATTCCCGGCTCGGCCGAGGGACCATGTGTCCGTGGTGCTTCACAACGTGGCGCAGCTCGTGGCAGAATCGATAGTAGCGGGATTGCGCAATCCAAACCACAAAGCCGATCAAACCAACGCGGTACGTGAATTTGAACCAGAGCCAGTAGTGGAATTTCGGGAGCTGGACCGTAAACGTCAACGTAAAGACACTTGGCGTCGGAGCACGCATCGAGATTGCGTCACCACTCGTGAGCCACACGCAGCCTTGGGCCACGACAAAGCTAAGAAGCGTGACGCATTGGCAAGCACCGCGCTTGTGCCAGGACATGTCGTGACTCGCGTTGCGGTGGTCGGCGGCCGCGAACGCGCAGAGGACGTCCTGGTACGATGGCGCATAGAAGAGAACGCCGGGCTTATTGTACAAGAACGAGAGGCAGTCACACGCAGGCACCGGTACCGTATCCCGCATGATCAAAACGGTTCGAAAGACATCGGTGCGAAGAGTCGCGTTGCGGTAAAAGGCCGGTCGACCCACCGTAGGCTCAAAGAGCTCCAGTGTCAGGTTCAAGTACGCGGCATCGTACGCCGACGTCGTGCCCCATGCTGCCACCCGCGACAGCGTTGCTTGCCACGGAAGATCTTCGGATATGTACGCCTAGAGCGGCTAAATAGAACTGTCGCATCAAGAAATGTCACTGACGCCAGGCTGCACCATGATCGCGATGTTGAGCAGCATGACGAAGCTTGTTGCAATCGAGACGCGGTTCCACGTGACCGCATACGTCGGTGGCGTTGCCTGCGCGTAGCTCTGGGCGCTCGGGCTCACACGGGCTGTGTAGCTTGGCATTGGCTACGCTTGGGATGTCGAGCGGTTACACCGTTTGGTCATGACGTGGCACGCTGCAAAGCCACTTGCACCGCAACCGGGCGAAACGGTCTCTGGCGAGGCGCTCGATCGTGATGTTACCGAGCGAACCTCAATTGATGCGAGCCAATACCACGTTATCTTTGAGTTGATATGGACGTTGTGCTTCTATAAAGCTAATCAATCGTGCTCTTGACTTGTTCGCTGGCGAGGCTCGCCTGGGGAGCCTTGTGGTTCCAAGTAAAGCTCTTTCAGTGCCATAATCATGAGCCAATCTACATGTACGCAGCGCTGGCAGTTGGCTATGAATTTCAGCACCTGCGGCGGGATTCGCGATGCAATGTCATGGCCCTAGACGATTCAAAGTGTGAGCTCGGAGCTATAACATGTTGTGCTGCTCGGCCGTGGCGCTGGCAGGGGAATTGGTTGTATGCAGACGCACAGGAAAAACTCGACGACAATAAAGCAGCGTAGAGTCACTACGACAGTCTTTCACTGCAGTTGGCATGCACAACAAAGAACCACACATGGGAAGAAGGGCTCGTCGTCGCGTTTTTCTCGACGTTAAATAGACCCTGCACCCACGTCTGTGGAGCACTTGAATGACCCGATGCGGGATGGATGTCCTTAGTTCACAGAATGCACAGCTCTACCAAAATCACATCAACAATTTATGGAGATTTGTTTTCGATCGCAGATGACCTGGGTTGAGCTGAATCAGCGTGTAAATATGCTTTTGGACGCTTGCTACGAGCGCATTGACGACCGCCAGCAACGCATAGAGCTGGAGTGTCGACACGTGGATCGTATCTGTATACGCTTCGAACGCCAGCACAGCAAACGGCAGCCACACCGACTAGAATCCATGTCCGATCGATCAAGAGGTGGTCAGGCATACCAGCGCTACGATGGCGTCCTGAAAGCCAAAGTACACCGAGAGCTTGCGAGAATGCGCTGCTTTGAGCACGAGGTTGGCGCGGAACGACCGCAAGCGCGACGAGCGCGTCAGGAACGGCCACAGCGTCAAGGTCTAGGGCCTGCGAGTAGCACACCACAGGGTCGCGACGAGCGTCTTCGTACCTGAAGAGCAAAGACGGCCCAGAGAATGCAGCGCGACAGCATGTCTGCCAGCGACGGGTAACGCGATCGGTTGAGCGCGTCAAAGTAGTTGGCGATGGCCAGCACCGCGCCAACGAGCCCGAAGAAGACCGGGACGAGCAAGAAGCGAAAGTAGCCCAATTGCACAAGCGACGCGCGGCGTGGCCGGGCTGCCTGCACTGGCGATGGTGGCGCATTGGGGTTCGCGGACGAGGTCATTGCGGCGCTGGCTTCGAACGCTCTTGGAGCGTCTGCGCCATTTGCCTTGACCGGTGACTTGCCGCCGTACGCCTGGAGCCTATGTGCCCGCTCAGCATAGGTGGTCTATTCAGATGGGCTTACCCAGCTAGCGCCAGCGCGGTTGCTGTCGCAGTGACGGTCGCTGCCACAGGCCAGCGCTGCCTGACCGCCTTCGCTGCCGTTTGCATCATCGTCCTTTCCGAAGCCGAAATTACACTATTTGAGTGATACAATTTAAATATAGAATAAATGGGAGCGACGGAATCTATGAGGAGCACGGCAACCCAGGTGCTGGCGGAACAGCAAGATTGCGTTGCTGCCAGTGCCTTGTACCTCGAATGGCATTTGGCAGTGTATGCATATGCTTCTGCATCATTCCACGCCGTCACATCGATGCTCCTACAGTTGTACACTATTTAAAACTGTATCATAACGCTATTCAAACTTGTAATACTGCACAAACCTCTACACCTTGCACCCTTTGCTGCGCTGCCGAGGGCGATTGGAATGCTCTTGGGCTCAAGACACTGCGTGCGTGTACTAGCCGTAGGAGCGTCACTCAAAGCGGCAACTCTATATACTAGCATCGAGCCATTGCCGAAACACAATATAAAATCACCACAGAACCATTTGGGCAACTTGACAGAATATAGTCTTCATTTAGCGAAAGGTTACCATGAAGATCGTAGTCGTCGTCGGTGCCATCCTCGCGGGCGCGACGGGTGCATCCACCGTTGCCTCGCGCGTCGGCGCCTTTTTGCTTGTGCCGACGGCGTGTGACGCGAAGGACTGCCCGCACGGCGGCTGCTACTTCGAAAACTGCTTGACCAGCGTCTCGTGCTCCGGCGGCGTCTGTGACTTTCGGTACCCGACCTCGAATCTCGGTCACCGTCATCGAGCTATGTAGGAACTGCGCGGCGCCGATTTGCCAAGGTTCTGAAGTCGCTTTGGCGGTCGACAATTTTGTGATGGGACGTGTGTAGGTGGCCGCTGCTCCTTTATCGGGTCGACGGGGGCCACGTGCCCGGGGGGCAGCTGCGCCTTTTTTGACGTCACTGAAGGCTTGACCGACGGCTACTGCACTGGCGGTAGCTGCACGCTCGATGATAAGGCCCACCCGTCGTCCTTCTCGTCGTCGCTGAGCGTGTAATAACTCCATCATGTGCGCCGAATGCATAATGTACGCACGTTACTTTCATACATGAGGTTTGTTCCTAGTACTAGTACGAGATGAGCGGGTGAATCGGCCACACTCTCTCGGACTCGAGCTCGACCGTGATGGGATCCCTGTAAATCGCAAGGTACTCGTCCAGCGTCATGAGGTCATGGCTCTTGGCGACGAGTAGCACGAGCTCGGTCGACGGGAAAAGCACTTGGTCGCTATTGCTTGGCGCCGCGAGGGACTTTTTGATGTTTGCCTACTCCAATCGTTTGCATGGGCCTGCTGGTATGTGGGGTACGTACAGCGGGCTGCGTCCCGAGGCGGCGCGCGAGCGTCACGAGGTTGAAGAACATGGTGCTGGCTGCCTGCGGGATGTCGCTTTCGTTGGCGTCGTTGGGCTTGCTGATCGAGAGCTTCTTAAAGTACAAGCTTTGAATAAGCCGCTTCGAGTTGTCATCGCAGGTCGCGACGACCTTGACGTCGGAAACGTTGGGAAAGCCTTGCAGTGCGACACAGATATCGGTAAAGTGATCGGCGGTGGACTCGATGAGCACAACGAGCGCGCCTTCGAGCATAAAGACAAGTCCTGACGCGTCGCAGCTGAGGCTCTGCAGCGTCTTGACGAAGAAGTCTTGGATCTTCTTGGGGCCATCGACGTCGGTGCTCGAGTACGTCCCGACAAAGCATGAGCGCGAGTAGAACGTCGCCTTCAAGCTCGAGAGGCTCATGTTCTGCATCACATCCAACAACGATGGCCCGAGGATGTCATCTTCCTTCATCACTTCCGGCGGCGCCATGGGGCTGCCCTCGTCGTCCTGCGTCGTAGCCATCGCCGCGCCGTTTCAAGATATGGCTAGTTTCACCCACCGAATTCGGCTAGGACATCCACTTAGCGGGAAATGGCTTTTATGCAAATGCGCGCGCACTCAACTGCTTCATGGACATTACGCACCATCACCCGGTTGCAAGTGCTTGGGCATCGACTGTCATGATGATCGACAACGATGTCGGTACAAAACGTCCCGAGAACGACAAGGTTGCTTGTGTATGGAGGCGGCTATACACCACAGTGTACGGAATTGGCAGTTACACTGTGACAGCGCAGGGTAGAAGGGCAGACCACGGCCAGGTGCGTCGCGGCGCCATGCCTCTCGACGCTGCAAAAGACCGAGCGATGCTGAAAGACATGGTGCATCGGAGCCGACGGCGCGTCGTGAGCGTCAGTGTAGGTCGGTCACTGCATGATGTGCTACAGGAATCGCCGCCGAAACCACCCCCGTACACCCCCCACCCGACCCCGAACGAAGCGGTGCTACCCAAGCCTCGGGGCAACTGCGTCGCTTCCATGCCTCTGCAGCCCATTTCAAGGAGCGAGCACTATCAACAGCTCGTGGCAACCGAGAGTTTTCGTGGTGACAAGCATATTCCTCGACGCCGAGCCATGCAAGACAAGGAGCTGCGTGACGTGCGGAAGCTTCAGCATATTTTGGACAAGAACAGCCATCGGCGAAACGCGGGTGTGGCGACCTCGATTGCACATGTACACGCGCCCGAGAAGGTGGGGCCCATCGAGCCCGTGCGCGAGGATCAACGCGGGGTTCGGCCAGTCAAGAAGATTTTTCAGAAAGCGATGCACAAAATCATGGGCCGACCAGAGCACCATCATGTGGCGCACCACCCCCACAGCCTTCACTTGGATCCGCACAAGTGGTTTGAAGCACTTCGAGAGAGCGTCGAGGCGTCCATCCCAGCGACATCGTACCTATCAATCTTCTCTAGCATTTTCTGACGCAGCTCCGAAACGTAGTATTCCGCCCGCGCTGGCGCACTCCAAATTCGAGCCCATGACGTACGGCGCCACAATCTTCTTAATGTCGATGGCGACACGCACCTGCCTTTTGCTCGAAGACGCCCACGGCAAGAGCGTGCGCAACTCAAGAGCGCACAACGACCCGCGACCCGGTTCTTGTTTCCGACTCGTATGTCGTAGCAACTAGATAATACTGTCTTAGCATCGTCACAGGTGGACTTTACAAACCCGACGCGGACGGGGCCAATCCGCGACGGCGATGCCATTTGGCTGCAGCTCGTGGGGTCGCAAAAGCCGCTGCATCCGCCCACCAGTGACGTGCTCCATGACTATGTCAACGAGCGTCAGTTCTACTTGGCGCGACCTACTGCCCCCGAGCTCGACTACTCGGGGCCGACGCCCACGGTATGTTGGCATGGTGTTGCTCCTCAAGTGTAACTCGGCTGTAGCTCCTCCTGGTCGCGAGCTTGTTGGAAGTGAGCGTTCCACGAATTGGTCACTACGGCTACGATGCATCCCTCGGCGACTATCTGCGGTCGCTGCAGCCGCCCATGCTATTGGCGCAGTGGCACATCCAGCTGTCGCCGTCCGCCCTTCAGCGCGACGACATGTTGGGAGGTAGTTGACTGCTTCTTGACTTGTCCAGTATACACAGCGCATTAGACGACGCATTGCGTCCTAGCGTACAGGCCGGTGGCAGCCTCTGTAACTTTGCCATCGTGCACTTGACGCTCGCGAGCGAACCGCTCGGACTTGAGGTGCACGGCATCTCGGAACGCGCCGTCCTTGCGGTGCGATCAATCCATCGAGTGTCATCTCACAGATCCACATCTGTAGCCGCTGCGCGCCGAGCACAACCTGGCCGAGTGGCGGCTGTGTCTCTTAGAGCGCGGACCTTTGCCGGTGCTGCAAAAGGCGGCGTCTACAGACAGCTTGACAAAAGCGCATGCGAGTCTTCACAGGAGCCGCGCTTGCGTCGATACCTTTAGCCAGCACCAGTCGCAGCTGGCGCACGCGCGGCATCATTTACATGCGGTATCCCGGCGCTGTCCTGTAGCGCATAAACGTGCATTGATGTTTGTGGTGAGCTAGACCAGCTGCAACCACTTGGAGCTCGTCGACACGGCCAAAGAAGGCTGCGTGGCTGCGTACTATATGCAAAAGCGTCACACAACAGCGCTGAGCTCGTGAACTCGTCGTGTGTGGCAATGACGCAAGCCATCGTGTCCGACCCTAGCTCCTCGTCTCACGACGACGACGACGAAGACAGCAGCAGGCATAGATAGTAGCAGATCGCGATTAAGAAATAGAGACTACTTATGCCGCATCGTCTTGGGCAGTGGCCGCCGCTTTCCGGTCCTGGATCGCCTGGCGCTTGCGCTTCTTGCGCTCGCGCTGCGCGTCGGTCTTTTCCCGCTTGCGCTTGCTGCTGCTGCCGTCGGAGCGCTCAAAGTACGCGACAAAGAACCCGTTGGTGCCGTCTTCCAAGCCGTTGGCACGCACGAGGCAGTCGGCTTGATCTGCGTTGAGACCGTCGACGACGACACCGCGACGGGGCCAGGTTGGGAGTGCTTTCACAAGGTGGAACGGCGTGCCCGCGGCCCGAGACGCTTTGAGCGCGGCCATGACAACGTCTTCGTTCTCTTTTTCAAAGATCGAGCACGTCGAGTAGGCAATGCGCTGGACGCTCGGAAACGAAAATGCTTTTGGAGCGCTTCGAGCTGAAAGTCGGCGAGCGCCTGGAGTCGCGCTTGGACTTCGTTGGCGCTTTCACCGGCCTCGCCGTTCGAAGCTTCGTACTCGTCGTCGGCTGCAAAGCCTTGCTTCATCGTCGCGAGCTCCAAAAGATGGTCGAGCCGGTTCGACATGCCCGAGCCCGAGCACGAGGGATCGAGTAGGATGCTCGTGACGTTGGCGTACTTGGCATCGTTGACGTTGACGTCCAGAAACGACTGCAGACACGGCTCGACAATCTTGTCGGCGGCAGCGCCCTTCATGCGCCGCTTGAGCAAGTCGAGGCGCGTCGCCGACCGGTCAAAGGCAAAGACGCGGAGCGGGCGCGACGACGCCTTGCGCGCCACGAGCATCGCCGCGTGGCTCGTCTTGTTGCCGGGCGCGGCGCACGCGTCAATAACGTCGCCGAGGTCGTCGTGGCCGCGCTCGCCCTGCAGCACATAGGCCGAGAAGCAACTGGCCTTGTCCTGGAGGATGAGGCGGCCCGAGACAACGCTCTCGTGCGTGTGCAGCTCCGTGCCCGGCGGGAACACGATGAGGTCGCCAACGTGCGCATCGATGTCGAACGAGAGGTCCTCGGGCAGCTTCAAGGCGGCGCGGATGGCAGGGATACTGTCGATCGGCTCGGTCACGCGGAGCGTGTTGATGCGGGCGTAGCGCGGCAGCCGCTGCGACTCGGACATGCGGTTCTCTTCGGGCAGAAGTTCTTCGTCCGTCTTGACTTTCGCTTTGACCTTGAGGCGCACGAGCGCTTGCTTGAGCGCATTGTGCTGCGCGAGGACCTGCTTCTTGACAAAGCCGCCGCCCTGGATCTTCTTGTCTTTGCCAAACATGAGATCGTAGATCGCAATGTAGTAGAGCGCTTGCTGCGACGTGGTCGGTCTGGCCTTCTTGGGCGCCGCCTTGCCCGACGCCTTGGGCGACTTTTTGATGATCTTGGTGAGCTCGGGCACGGCCGCAATGAGCTGGTCGAGCAGCGGCTTGTAGCGCAACGTTTGGCACACGAGCGCAAAGCAGTTGCGCTTCGACTTGATCTTATCGGCGTACGTGAGGCTCTTGAGGCCACCGCTGTGGCGGAAGAGACCTTCGAGGACGCCCGCGGCTTCGGCGTACAGCGTGCTCATGGGCAAAGTAAGATTGATGCACCAACCAAAACCGTATAACGCATCCGGATAAAATACCACGGGGTGGACGGCAGATCCATTTGCTTCGAGTTGCAACTCCGTGCATGATCTCCACGTGTGCGGACGCTTGAGCGCTCGATGACCAGCTTCCTTAATGCTACTCAGTGCATATGCAATGCAGGATTGCCCCAGACGCTCCTCTGTGGAGTCCTGCTTGGCGCTGAACGTAGTACAGGCGTCCGAGGCGAGAAAGCGTGAGCTACGCATTGCACCTAGCCCAAACGCATGCAGCCCTCTTCGTCTACTGGTACGTTAAAGATCTTGCACGTCGTCTCCACACATGGGTCTCTTCGCCGCCGACGACATCGGGTTCGCCGACGACGAGCGCGTTTCGCCCAAGGCGGATGCTTGCCATGTTACGCCCTCTGCAGTCGCCTTGCCTAGCCCTTCTACTGCATCCACTGGTAGGCTACACAGAGGTGGTCGTGGGCTCCTCTGCATGCTGGCTGTCCAGGACGAGGCTGACCGTGGCGTTGACCCTTCAACATTCAAAATCCTGTTTTGGAGGGAACGCTGGGCTAATAATAATATTACGAAAAATCGAAGTGGAGCCTCAAACCTGTGGTAATACATAACCCGTGATAACATTGGTATCGATTTACAGCAACATTTTGTATGGTAGATAAATAACCTGTATAAAGTGATTTACTGCAAGCATCGACCCCAGTTTATTCGAAGCCGTGTGCAATTGAATATTTCGCGGGCGACAAATCTGAGAATGGGCCAATCACAGACGTATATAGCGTCTTTTTGACCAATGAGGGGCGCTATCCGGTGCCGGAGCCGGAGTTGGTTCAGTATTTTTTTGGCCTCTTCCAGCACCAGCGAGAATCGAAGAATGTCGGGCATCCCTGTGGGCGGTGGCAAGGGCGGCAAAGGCGGCAAGGGCGGCAAGGGCGGTAAGGGCGTGACTTCCAAGAAGGCGCCGCAGTCGCGCTCGAGCCGCGCCGGCCTCCAGTTCCCCGTCGGCCGTATCCACCGCTTCCTGAAGAAGCGCGTGGCCAACAACCAGCGCATCGGCGCGACGGCGGCCGTGTACACGGCCGCCATCATGGAGTACCTTACGGCCGAAGTGCTCGAGCTGGCAGGCAACGCGTCGAAGGACCTCAAGGTGAAGCGCATCACGCCGCGCCATTTGCAGCTCGCGATTCGAGGTGACGAAGAGCTCGACACGCTCATCAAGGCCACGATCGCCGGTGGCGGTGTCATCCCGTACATCCACAAGTCTCTTGTCGGCAAGATCATGCCCAAGAAGAAGCCTATGTAAACACTCTTTCTCTGCCCGACGCGCCGTCGTTGGTTCCTCATTTATCCGATGCATCGCGTCCGAGCGTCGATGCTGTTTATAGTAGTGCGTTAACCTGCAATGAACGCCCATATCACGTGAGCATGCACCCTCGACTCTGCTTCCTAAAGGACGGCAACAGTATACATGACGCTAATCCACTTCTTACACTCATTACACTCGTGCGACTCTACTCCATGTTGATGTCCCACACGTTCTCGTACGGGGTTGTCAGCCCGTCATCGTCGTCGTCGACGCGATAGATATTCTCCTTTCGCGTCGCCGGCAAGCGCTGGGCATCCACAGCACCCGCGCTGTCGTCGTCGTTGTCAATGAAGTTGAGGTGCAGCCGCAGTGCGCGGCCGACGTGCGTCATGGGTGGCTTGGCATGCTGTTGGTCTTCGACAAAGGCCTTTACAGAGGATACAACCAAGCCACCCCACAACGCAGTACCAAAGAACGCCCAGAAGCGCGTGTACGCCTCACCGTGCCCGAGGCCATGCGTGAGGTCGTTGTTCATCTGGGCATGCGTGGCCCGTGTCGTGGACGCGTTCTGCATGCGATTCAAGAAGACGTTCATGTCGATCGAGTCCATGCGCGACGTCGATACAAGCGCACGCATGTACAAGCGCTGCGCCTCTTGGGACATGGCAAAGCGCTGGCCCTCGACGCGCTGCACGACAAGGCTCGGGTGCACTTGGCTGAGCGCCTGGAGCACGCGCAGCTGGCGCGTTGCGTCTCCAGGGTGCAGGTTGGCGTCGGCGACGAGCCGCTTGAGGTGGTTGTTGGTCGTCTGGGCGAGCCCGCGGAGGCCGATGAGACGTCGGTTCATGGTCGCACGATTTGGAAACTGCGATCCAAGCCGATCTGGGCAGTTTGGGTCGACCAGCCAATCACAGACGCCGCTTTTGAAATCCGAAGAAAACCCCGTCGAAGAAACCACCTTCTTCAACTTGAGCTGATCTTCTTCGTTGCGCCATCATCCTAACGTTTACGATGCTAGCTACTCGTCGGGGTAATCGAAGCTTGGGCCACAGTGCGTTCACTGTATAGAGACAGTAACATGACATGAAGGAGGCTGCCGTGGCTGGCGGTGCAGTGCCATAGCTGGAGGTCCAAGTCAACAAGACACTAGAGGAAGAGGAGGACGTCGAGGCGACGGAGATCCTGCATCTGCCGTTGGTATCTCTTGGCTCCAGTCTTGTGCGACCAGATGGGGAATGATGGTTGTCAGCGGCTTTGTGGATCTTTGTGTTTCAGAACGTCAAATTGGGCGGATGAAAGAATACATGCTTTTTGTGCTGTGGACAAAATAGTTGTTTGATGGTGCAATAGGTGTTGGCATTTCGCATCGAGGGTCTTGTGCGGACTTGGAGATGGTGGTACAGTGCAGGACGCAGGTTGAAGATCGCTCCGCAAGATCGCGCATCTGATGCCACGTGAACATGTATTTTCAGAGGCAACCTGCGATAATGCATTGACAAAACTATGTTTTATCGAAGGTAACCGCGGGTATCTAGTTTGAGAGGCAAAGCCCGATTTGAACTTTCAATCCTCGGCGGCGGTGGACGAGGATGTTCTTGGAGAAGCCATCGCTTGTCCGCCACTCGAATGCTGCGGGTCGAGGTCCGTGCAAGTTACCATGCGCGTGGCAAGCGCCCGCTTTCGATCGTCTGGCGCATGCCACGGGCGAAAGCTGCGAGCTTGGCGCGATGCAGCTTCAACCGCAACCTTACGTTTCCGTGGCATAGACTGCGCGATCTATGGCATTGACGCCCATCCGACCGAGCCCAAGTTTGCGACCGCGGGCGGAGGTACGAATGATTGCAACTCTGTGCGATGTACTCAACGTACGGTGCCGTAGACAACTGCGTCAAGATCTGGTCCATGACGTCATCGCCCGATCAAGAAGGGCCAGTGTACGAGCTCTTGGCCACTTTGGCCTGGCACGAGCAAGCTGTGAATTGCGTACGCTGGTCCCACAGCGGCAAATACCTCGCGTCGGGCTCGGACGACCACTCGGTGCTAATCTACGAGCTGCAAGAAGGCGCGCCGTCGGCCGTGCCCTTTGGCTCGAACCGAGAGCCCAACAAGGAAAAGTGGGTCCGCTGCGCCATGCTCAAGAACCACACCATGGGTACACTCCATGCTGCTTTGTGTATCCGATTGAGCCTGTCGTGTAGATGTCCAGGACGTGGCGTGGTCGCCCGACGACCGCATGCTGGCGACGTGCAGTATTGACAATTCGATTTTGATCTGGTCGATGGACCAACTCTCGGCGGTGATGACGCACCCGATCCAGCACCTCACAGGACACAATGGCTGGGTCAAAGGCGTGGCGTGGGACCCCGTTGGCAAGGTACAGCGATTCCATTGCCAATCCTTCATTGGGTATGCCCAGTACTTGACGAGCGCTGGCGAAGACAAGTCGGTCATCGTGTGGCGCGTGGATACGTGGGAGGTGAGTCACGACCACCTCTTCCCACTTGGCCATGGCTTTGTTCAATGGCACTAGATTGAAGCAAAGATAGAAGCGCCGTTTGAGCACTGCGCGAGCACATCGCACTTTCGCAGGCTCTCATGGGCGCCCGACGGCAGTCTCCTCTGCGCCACCCACGCCCACATCGTACGTGCCACACGCTACCTTGAGTTGGTGTTGATCGATGCGTCGTTCTAGTCCAAACAAGACGTCGGTGCCTTCATTCAGCGCAAATCGTGGGCCAATGACGTCAACCTTGTTGGGCACCGAGGCGTCGTGACGTCTGCACGCTTCAACCCGCGCCTCTTTGGTACATGCATCGATGGCTACCGCGAGGTCTTGATAAATACCGTGTAGCCAAGACGGCCAACCAAGAATTTGCGTGCTGTGCGCTTGGCGGGGACGACTGCACAGTGACGATCTGGCTCGCACACGTGGCGCGACCGCTGGTGGCCGTCACCGAGTGTTTCGACGCGTCGGTGACCGACTTGAGCTGGTCGCACGACGGCTTTACGCTCCTGTGTGCGTCGTTGGACGGCGCCGTCTGCGTCTTCCAGGTACACTGCATTTGACGCATCTCGCGGCGGCACCTCACACAATACCAGCTCACGGCGGACGAGCTCGGGACGCCCATGACACCGCAGGAACAGAGCCGGCTGCTGCAGCAAAAGGTCGGATGAGGCCACATGTTGCATGCTCCTCACACTATAGGGCTTTGTCTAGTATGGATCGTTGGCCGGCCGAACATCAGGCAGCACCCTCATCGAAGACCCGCTGCAGCTCGAGGTCCGTTCTACCTCTTTTGCATACGAATCAGCCAACGAATCGTACGATGCGACTGCAGCTAGAAGCGCGCCAGAAGCAAGCTGCGCCGACGCAACTGGATCGCTTGGCCATGCGCCTGACTCCCCTCGGCGCCTCCAACGCGACGCTGGACGCGCCATCGACCGAGGCAGCCCCGACCGTATTTGCGCCTGCGCCAACCGTGTTTACGTTGACCGCGCGACCGAAAGCAAAGCCGTCGGACGCGCCGACACCGGCCAACACGCCCGTTTCGATGCTTGTGCCTCGGCCCAAGCACAAGGATGCGGTCACGACGCTGGTCGCTCGGCCAAAAGCACTCAAGAAACCCGAGACGAGCAGCAAAGAGGCCGACGACGACGACAACGCGCCCATCATCAAGCGCAAGCGCACGCTCGAGACCACGCCCAAGCCCCGCGCTCACGCCAATACACTCCTAGTGTCCGTCCTTTCTTATTGCACCAAAAGAAAATCTGATTGGTGCGTAGCGTGGATGCCGACGATCGGGACGACGTCTTTCCAGAGCTGGCGTCGCGGGCACTGTTTACGCACACCATTGCGCTGCCCCGGGGCACGTCCCGTGTCCTTGAATGCCGGCTCGGCGACGACTACTCATCCATCACGTGCACGGACGCAGGCACGTGTCAGTGGATGGATCGTCTGCCTGGCGTCGTCGTGCGCATGGTCGGCAACGAAGCGTTCTGCGCCTTTGGCACGACCGACGGCAGCTTGTACGTGCTCTCGGCGTCAGGTCGGCGTCTCTTTCCCTGCATTGGTATCTGCCTCGATCGTCCAGCCATGTACATGTTTTGCTTACCATGGATCGTACTATGTCGTATAGCGCTGGGCCATGCGCTCGCAGCGCTGGAAGTGAGTCCGCACACATCGCCATACCTGCTCGCGATCCTCCGCAACGGCGACGTCAAGACGTGGAATGTGCTGACGCCGCGCGCGGCGGTGAATACGACGCTTCGCTCCGTGGCGGTGCGACTCGCCCCATGCTTGCACCGTGGCACCTCATGACTATCATAGACGGTCAAGTCGACGCTAATTCGGTCGCATGTGACGACGACGGGCCAGCCGATCGTGACGATGGCGCTGACAGGGGCCGAGCGCAGCCGCCTGCACTCGTTCACGTTTGACCTCGCGATGCTGTGCTGGTAACCCGACACGACCAACTGATGAGGTATCGAACGCACGTAGGATGCGCGTGGCAGACGACCACTTTTCGTACTCGGACTTTCAGACGTCGCTGTCGACGGACGCGGTTGTCGCCGCCGATGTGCCGGTACGCGTCTCGACGATCGCGAGAGGCACTCAGGATCAAGCGTCGTAGGTGGGCCCGCTCCGCCGGCTCCAGAACGCGTCGACGCATTCGCGGTCGGCCAAGCACATGCTATCGGGCATGACCAATATGGTGCTGCAGCGCCATGTGACGCGGACACACCTCGAGCACCAATTGGCTGCGTCAAAGGCGCTCGAAAGTGCCACCGAGTACAGCTACTGGTACGACGTCGCGTCTTTGGTCTCTCGACTCACGCATCTGGCGCAGGCTCAAGGTCTATGCACGGTACCTCGCGCAGGAAGGGGATGTTGCACGGCTGGAAGAGCTCTGCACGGAGCTGCTGGGCCCGCTCTCGGCGTCGGGCAGCAGCGTCGCGACCGCTAGTGGCGAAACTACGTGGCACCCACGTGTCCTGGTATGTGCGATGTATCTCTCGACCGACGCGGCGACAACGACGTAGGAGACGCCCAAGCGCGATCTTCTCCGGACCATCGTGATGCCGCAAATGGCCTCCAACCGCGTGCTCCAGCGACTTGTGCTCAAGTACCAAGTGCAGCTCGACGAAGCGCAGCCGTAGACGCCACAAGAGCTGCCACCCGTCCACCAGTTATAACAGTAGCCTCTCGCGCGCTGTCGTCACGACGACTAAGATCATCCTCATCCTTTCGTCATCGGGCTTGTTGCCACAGTGGGACATGCGGTGTCTGCGATGCCCGTCCTGCAACCTACTGCTGGCATCTGCTGGATGCGCCGCGACGAAGTGGCCACTCGATTCTGGTTCGCGCTGGCTTCTCGCGCAATCGTGGCCATCCAAGCTCGCAGCCACTCGGAGCCCATCATCCAGCCGTCTGGCCCCATATCGCAGTGTACCTATGGACCGCGTTCCTCCCATCATCCAGCGCCCGAGTAGCTCGACCGATCTGCAGTGATCGCGTGCTTGGAGGCACGGCTTCGAATTCGAAGCCGTTTTTCCGGACACCGATATCCGGACCCACGTGCGCACCGGATACGGGTGGTTGTGTTATCCGGAAGTGCGGAAGATCTGCCCGCGCGCAGTTTCGAATTTGCTATGAAGGGGGAGAGCGACCAGCAGCAGCAGCTCCGGCGGTTCGAGCTCCGCGTCAGCGTCCGCGACTTCCTTGCGGCCCGCGCGGGCGAGGCCACCATGCTCGTGACGACGTCCGCCGAGGTGCAGATCGACGCGCTAGAGGCCATGAGCCGCCTCCTCTGCAAGGAGCGCGTGCTCCATGCGATCACAACGGTGCATGGCACGTCGACCTTGATCGCGGTGGACAATCTCCCGGCCATGTGGCGCTGCGCGGCTGCGGTCGGAGGCAACATGAACATGCGCAAGCAAGCGGGCCCGATGCCCGACTTCGTCGTCAAGGAGCTCTGCTGCGCGATGGTGGTCATGGCACTCAAAATGAACGGTTACGTCATGATGGGCGACCAAGGCACGTACATGCTGCCAAAGCAGACGCGAAGCGACATGGTGCAGTGCGTCCACTTCTCCGAGATGCATCTCGTGCACGACGAGGTCGTCGCCGTCTTCTCGCCGGTCGTGTACCACCTCAACAAGGCCGACGCCGCTGTCCACGCGATCCGATCCAGTGCGATGGGCCTCCCCGTCTCGGATGCGAGCCTCACAAACCAGCTTTTGGCCCACGCTGCTGTGTTTGCATTGCCCAAGATGAACCATTGCCGCATCATGCAGTACACGACGCATCCACCGCCTCTGGCCAGCACCACGGGCGAGCCGCAGACGGAAGCAGACTTCCGCAAGCAATGGATGGATGTGCACGGGATCACGCTACCTGGTGATCTTGGTGGGTATCTTCGCGTCCAGTTTCCGTCCGGTGCCGTCTTCACCTACCCCGCCGCTTGTGTTGCGACAAATTGGCACATCCTCTCCAAGCAGTCGCGGTCCGAGGCCAACGACATTACCCGGCTGCTCATGGTCTCGATGAATGGTTTTTTGGGCCGACTGCCGTGGGCGTCCGAAGTGAGCAGTTTGAGCCCAAGGTCGCGACGCTCTTGCCGGCCTCGGCCTTGCTCCAAGCGACGTTGCGGAAACGCGACGAGCACCAAGCCCCCGCGCTAACAAAGCGCAAGAAAGTCTACTAGGCCAAGGCTTAGTCCAACCCCACATTTATTAATGTATTCGAATACATCGCAATCGTCTCTCTACGCGGTGTACTCGAAGTTCAAGACGGCGTTGCGCAGGTCGTACACATCCTTGAGCGTGAACGCATCCTTCTTGGTCGGCGTCAAGTGCGACGACGCGGCAAATTCAACGAGCTTCTCCATGTACTTGAGCCGCTGGTCCTCCTTGAACGGGAGCAGAAATCTAACGAGAACGCCATCAGCCTCTCGTCTCGGCCAATCATCTCGACACGTACACGGACGATTCGACCGACACCTTGGCGCGTGGCTTCAAGATCGACGTCCACGCCGGCGCGTCACCACTTAGCGCGGGCTTGGAGATCAAGTGGGACGCATGGACCGAGAGATGCACATGGTCAAACAAGCCGCGGTACCGACTCTTCTGGAGGACATCGTCGAGGTTGCCCGTGAGGAGCGTGATCTACCATGATGCTTGGTGGAGCTCATGGCATGCGGCGATGTACCTTGGCGTTGCCAAGGGTCTCGAGGATGTTGCGGGCGCGCTTCCGCGCATCCCTCTCGTCGTCGTCGTGGGATGTTTGATTGCTCTCATCGAGCTCGACGACTTTGGCGTCGTCTTCGCCAATGCCACTGTACACATCATGGGCCTAATCGTTGCGTCATGAGGCACACATGTTGAGGCAACGCAATTGAACCTTGGCCATCTTGTAGATGTCGCCCGTCTCGATCTCGTGGAGGCACGAGAGGACGTTGAAGACCGCGACCTCGGCCGTGTTCTACGCCTCGGCCATGAGACCACGAGGTGCCATGACCATCGAATCCAACATGGCGGTTCTGCTCGCAGCCCGAGCCCTTGTTGTAAATCTCAAAGAGACCGTCCGCAAACTTATTTGACTAGAAGAAGAGACGAGTCAATAGATAGCGTCGACCAGTTGTGTACGCGAAAGCAGTCGACGCCAAAGGAGATGTAGGGTCCGACGGTGATGTCAAGCCAAAAGCCTCGGCAGAGCACCGAGCCGTGACCGCGCTTGGTGGCCTATATACTCGATACATCGAACGCGCGCGGGCAACTTGTGGAGCACCTCCGTGTACGAGGCCATGGACCGGTTCGGACTCGTGTACGTCTGGTCGCCAAACTCGAACGCAATGCCCGAGTTGCGCCACTCCTTAAACTGCCGGGCGTGGATCACGGACGCTTGGTCGATCTTCTTGAGCGACATCTACGCCCAGCACTCTTGCATCTCTCGCTCAAATAGAGTGTATATAGGCAACCGTATAGTCCCAATCAAAGAGGTTGGCGCGGTAGTCGTAGCGGTTCTCGTAGAAATGACGCAGCCGATGGTCGCGTAGCTTGACGACTACAGAGGAGCATCATGCGGCGCTCGACCATGGAGCAGCATGCGTACTGTCGAACGGCACGGACGTGTGCCACGACTGGAACGTCTCGACCAGCGCGTCACGGTCCTTCATCTTGAGGTGCGAAACGTCGACCAAGTCGGCAAGCCGCCCGTGCTCGTTGCAGACGAGCTCAACCAGCTCTTTTGCTTTCTCCTCGATAAACTCGGACGTGCGCTCCTACGCAGACGGTACAGCCACTGCGTATGGAAGGAAATATCTCGGTGCACCTGCAGTAGCGCGTTGCCAAAGACCTCCAAGAACGTGTTGCAGCGCTGGCGGAGCGGCAGCTCCCACTCGTGAACGATCTGGAGCAGCAGGAGCGCGCGCGCGAGTGACTCGTTGGCCTTTTCAAACAAGTAGATGTGCAGTGGGCGCTTCTGCCACCGGCGAGAGCGCGAGATGGTCGTGAGCACATGGCGAATGTCACCCGGGTTGACCACCAAGAGCGAGAGCGGCGTCGTGTCGTCGTCGGTGCCTTGGTCGTCGGTCGCTGGCTCGGCGACGCCTTCGTGGAGGTCAAAGGCCGGCGAGAAGCCCCACATGCCCAGCGTCCCGAGCGAGAGGAGGTTGCCCGTCTTGGACGTCATGCTTCTTCGAAAATGCTACAAGATCTTGCACAGCGCTTCGTATCCGGACAATCCGGTTCGCGACGTTTCACGCCAACGCCCGACGATGAGGTACGCGCCGCCTGTCGCTGGTGCTGGGTCCCATGAGGATGGCACCTAGTGAAGTCGTCGTCTGCAGCTTCGTGGCCGGCCTCTATGGCCTCGACGAAGCCTCGCACGAGTGGGTGCTCTCGGTGCCCGATGCCATCCACGTCCACGTCTTTATGGACGACGCCGGGCTCTTCCGCGTCGTGGGCTGGGTCGAAGCCACGGGCGACGTCGTCGTCAAGCATGCGATCACGCGCGACTGCATCTGGCTCGACGTCAACGAGTATTTCGCCCAGATGACCAACGCGGCGGACGTGACGTACGGCCTCGCGTTCACCGATCCGACCCTCGCGACGGAAGCATCCAACGCCGTGCGCAAGATCCTCTCGCGCCTCCAAAACGGTCCGAAAAGCTTGTATTGCGCGTAGTCAAGCATCCTTATGGTAGAGACTATGCGCGACAACAACCTGCTGCCTGCCATTGCCATTGCGCTCGAGGTACGGGCCGCCACCTACAGATCTGCGTTGAGATGCTTGGATGTTGTAGTTGTCCAGCGAGCCGGTCAGCCCGACGTCCGACCTGCTAGATATGAAAGACCTCCCCGTTGTGGCTCCCGTACATCGCTCTATGAAGCACAAATGTCCCTGTGATATGTATGGCCTGCATAGCTGCTCTCGGTGACGACACCACCACGCCGGAGCTTTCCGTTCGCGCCACCCAGTCCCCCTCAACCCTCCAGTACACGCATTAAGCGCAGTGCGAGCGTGCCGCAGCCGGGTGCGCCACTCGTGTGCGTCAGCGAATTGCGGCGCGGGAGCTTTCCACTCGCGATGCCGCCTCTCCTGGATTTATCGCTGCCCCCGAGTTCGTCCGCGTCGCGTAACAGCTCGCGCCGGCAGTCGCTCGCGAGCTTCGAAGAAGTCGAGCACGCAGCGACGGCTGCGATTGATGCCACCACGACGCCGCCTAAGCCGGCGCTCGAACCCGTCCCGCGTGGTACGACGACTTGTCATCGACGCACCGTTCTTGAACCATGCGATGTAGACAAACCCGTGCAGTATCCGAGCTGCATTTTGCCCGAAGACGCGCACATTAGCCGGCCGTACCAGATGCGACAGGAAGTTCACGTGACGTTCAACGCCGAGTTGGCGCGGTACGAAGGTCTCCCGACCGCGTGGCGCAGCCTCAACAAGCAGTTTGGCCTCCCGATCGACGCCGTGCCCAAGCGCAAGGTCGACGGCTACGACGCCAAGATCCCGGCCGTGCTCCAAATGATGCGCGAGTATCTCGTCCAGAACGGCGGCCTCGAGACCGAAGGCATCTTCCGGCTCGCGCCCGACAAGGAGGCATGTAGCGCGGTCAAAGAGGCCATGAACAACGGCGTCTTTGCCGGCTGCAACGACGTGCACATTATTGCCAACCTCATCAAGGTGCATCCATCGTGTACATCGACGTCTCATGATGCTGGTGACGTAGGTCTGGTTCCGTGAGCTGCCCGAGAGCCTTCTCAACGTCATTCCAGAAAAGCGCATCTACCAAGTGTGCGGCGTCACCGACCCGAGTCTCGTCCTTGACGTCCTCCGCGACGTTCCGACGTCGCAACGCAGCGTGATTTTATGGCTCCTCGACCTCATGGCGGCCGTCGTTCTGCGCGAGAAGCAAACCAAAATGAGCGCGAAAAACATGGGTACGTCCATCATCCAAGTATTTGATTGCAGGCGAGCGACGGGCTGATTGTAGCGATCGTGCTCTCGCCCAACCTCTTTAGCATCGCGTCTGACAACCCGATGGTCGCACTCACCATGTCCCAAAAGGTGGCCGAATTCACCACCGTACTCCTCAAGGCGCGGCTTATCGTGCACCATGGCTACACGCCGCGCGCCTAGTCCACCCCTCGTTCTCTGTGTGACCATATTGCATCGAATCCATTTGCCATCATGTACCAAGTTGTCGATGATGACGTGCAGAAAGGCCATGCGTGGTCATATGCACGAGCTATCAGGGTAGGTAGACAGGATGGAAATCATCCTTGTACCCGTGGTTCCGAGGCTCAAGATAGGGACAAAAAATGTCGACGATTCAAAATGCTGGTGGCAGCACAGTCGTAGCCGGAGCGAATATATAGTTTATTGAGAGGTAGGACGAGCTAAGTGGTGTTGGTCGCATCGGACACTAAATATGCGTTTATGCCAAGCATCCATAGTCGGGGGAGATGTGCAGGAAGACGTCGTCGAAGAAGCGCTCGCTGCCATAGTCGACGTGCCCGACGCCGTCGTCGTCGTCAAAATCGTCGGTTTCTTCGTACTTGATGTCGGCGAGCATGATATCATCGTGGTGCAAGCTCGACGCGTCTGGGTGGCTGTACGCATGCAGGCCGTAGCCGTGGTCACCCGACGGCTCGTTGTAGCTCTTGCGCGGCTCGGGCTCGACGAAGTAGGCATCGAGCGACGGTACACCTTTTGGCGGATGCAGTGACACCAAGTCTTTCGACATGCGAAGGCTCAAGCCCGGGATCTCGGACGGTACGTTGATGCGTTGCATGTTGAAGAGATTGCTGTTGCTCTACGCAGCATCATTCGCGTGAGATTCGGTTTGATGATGGAAATTGCAGGTCGTACCGACTGCTTGCGGAGCGGTGGCAACTTCTCAAACGCCGAGCCCGGGTACTCGAGAAAAGGCGTCGATGAGAGATGATTCTTGTCGTCTTCTGTGGGGCTAATCGAGCAGTCGGAGAAGGACGCGCCGTAGCGCGGGCTGTCGACCGAGTACATGTCATCGCCCGAGTCCATGCCGTCGTCGTCGTCATCGTCCGGGTGGTGGAAGTTGGGAATGAACTGCCCGGACGGGTCGATGCCGTACGTCTCGGGTGCCATGAGCTTATCGAGCTGCTTCTTGAACGTGTCGTACTGATACACTTGCTTTTCGTTGAGAAGACCCGTGTCCTTGCACCGGTTGAGCTCTTGCAGCGACCGCTTCAGGCTGCGCACTTTTCGGTACGGCCAGTGCCGGATGCCGATGGCCCGACACCGCTTCTTGAAGGCGGTCGCGCGCACGCCAAACTTCTCGGCCGCAGCCTTGAGCGGCAAGTGGAAGTAGAGGCTAAAGGCCTCAAAGTTGCACATGGGCGACGAGGCCACCATGGCCTTCTTCGCGTGGAGGCGTCGTCGCATGTCGTCGTCGTCGCCCATGTGGGTAGCATTCATCGGTGGCATCGGCGGTCGCAGGAGCTCCATCGTCGTCTGCGGCGCTTGCTGGGAAAAGATCGAATGAAGAATGCATTGGCACGGTGTCGCGAGTGTTGTATCTTCAACCTCTCACAATGAATCCATCGAAACCAAGGGCAAACATCAAGTCTGCGAGGTTTGCCAACAAACATTCGACGCCACCCATACAAACCCCAAGTGTAGCACGGCCAGTATACAAATGTTTCGTACAACCCACGGTGTGGATTTTCGAAGGTTCACAAGATCGTAGCCGTTTTGAGCCAGATCCATTCGATTCCACCGAATCCGAGTTGGCCGCTTGCAGCAAGTGTACCTAACTATTACCAGCGCTGACCCTTGCGTGCATTGCTATTAGAATGCCAATCGCTCGGTATGTCGCTGCCTTGCGATGCATGCATAGTGTCATCCACCTCCACATTACACCTTGTAGCAGGTGGCTGTCGACCGTTTCGGGTTGCGTATGCTTGTCAATCATCGCGTCAAGAAGTTGGAAATACAGAGACTCGAGTCTCGATGGGTGTCGATCCTACCGGTACGACAAGGGGTTGGAGGGCGCTCGGAGGCGAGTGACATGAGGTGAAATACGGTGAGAGAATGAATAGGCGCGAGGGATCGAAGCGGGGGATTGGAAATACGACTAAAGCTATTGCTATTGCTATTTATAGCGCGAGAGCTGGAGATGCGCAAGGCGACGGCGAGAGGGTCCAGGCTCGCGCGCAAGCCGACCAAGTCGTACGAGGTGCTTTACCATGACCGCGATACCATCAGCATGGAGCGTACTAGGTGGCTGATGACAAGCACAAGCAGCTGCTCGGCCTCGGTGGCAACGAGAACGCGCACCTCGACCCGGACGATGAAGACTACATGCGGAGCGTCGTCGAAAAGCTCGAGCAAGACTTGGCTCGGCGACAGGTAGAAATGACGACACCTGCCCTTCGCCGCTCTGCACGGAGCGTAGGAGAGCTACGTGCGCCGCGAACGACAGTACCAAGTGCGCATTGAAGAGCTCGAGAAGCTCCTGACCGAGGTAGTCGTACGATGGCTAGCCATGGCCATTGACATAATAAGGGTAGGCCAAGGCCAAGAAGGTGTCAAGCGCGTCCCATGAAGACACGATGAGTTCGCTGCGGCAAGTGCACAAGAACATTCTCGGCAGCATCGCCCAGGTCCAAGAGCGCACGGGCAAAATTCTGCAAGGTATATTGAAGCTGCATGGCCACGCCATCGATTGTGTGCAGAGCAAGAAAAGGACTTGCTGCGGGCGTTCCGCGCGCGGCTCTACAGCGTCCAAGAAGAGCTCGAGACGGAGAAGAACAAAACGGACGACGGCGCGTCGGCGTGGATCGACAAGAGCAAGCAGCTCGAGACCGAGGTCGAGTGGACAAAGGAGATGGCCGACCGCCTCGATCGGCTCAACCAAAGCCTCACGCGCGAGAACCAGCGGCTCAAGACACAGTTCTCGATGCAGGAAAACGACCGCGAGTTCCTCGTCCGGCAACTCGTCAGCGTCAAGAAGGACAACGTTCGGTACGGCAAGCAATCCTATTGCCCGCTAAGAATCAAATAGGCTACGAAAAGAGCTCACGGACGCGCTCAACGAGAATAGCCGCCTCAAGGAAGAAGGCCCGCTCGGCGACGAGATGCCCGCTATCAAGCGCGGTACTAGCGTCAAATCCGACAAATCCAAAGCGTCCGGCGCGGGGTCGCTGCCCTCCATGGCGCCCCCTCGCGCGTCGTCTGCCGGTGGCCTCACGCCCAACGTGCCCGAGGTTCGATTGCCTAGACATGATGCAATACACAGGTATAGATATGGATGTATATGAGTAGGTGGACAACCGATACAAGGAAATCATCAAGCGGCTCAAGCGGGTTCTCGAAGTCGAGAGGCGCAATTTACGGCAAGTGCGCTCGGCGTATACGGCCGACCTCCAAACGCACACAGAGCTCTCGATGTTTCTTAAGCAGTGCGTGGAAGACGTGAAAGCGCAGATCACAGATCCCAGCGCCATCCGACACCTCGAGCCGATGCATGTGCTCGGAACGACGCTCTCGGGTGCGGACCGCCAGCGCGTGATCGAGGTCCTTCTGTCCCAAGAGCGCGTCTTGAGCTTACTGTATGCAAAAGCGTTTCCGCTGCCGACGACGCCGATCGTGCCCCATGATGATGTGACCAAAGAGGACATTCGCGACATCTTCCACGACGCGCCGGTCCCCGCCATGCATCCTCTCAGCGAGCACAGCGCCGAGTCCGTCCAAGACGACGACGACGTCGACGACCGGTAGCGCGTCAAGAGGCCGTGTGCTGCGAGTTGTAGAGCCCTCGAAGCAACACGACACGAATAACAGCGATCCATTGTGTGATGATTATTTCTGTTGAAGGTGGAAAGGCCAGCGCGATGCATCATGGCAAGACGGTGTGCAACCATTGACGGAGGTCGGCGATTTCTTCCATGGACGCCGTGTGGCCCATGCCAGGGTATGTCTTGAACGTGGTCGTGTGGCCGAGGCTCGAGAGACGGTCGGCCAACCCTTTGCCGAGCGGGTACGCGACCTTGTCGTCCGAGGTGCCATGCGCGACGAGCACGGGGCGCGACGACGTCGGCAGCGACACAAGAAAATCTTCGTGCGGGAGCCAGCCACTAAAGGCCACGATGCCAGCAATGGGCGCGTCGCTAAGGAGGCCCGCCAGCACAGCCGTGCAAGCGCCTTGGCTGAAGCCGCCAATGACGATGCGCTCGGCCGGAATGCCCTCGGCTTGCAGCTCCTGCACGAGCGCGCGCACCGTCGCGACAGAGTCGAGGATACCGTCGAGCGTCTCTTCGCGCACTGAGTTGGGCGCGACAGGAATGTCCTTGAGGTCGAACCACGCAGGCATGCGCTGGCCGCCCGCGAGGTACACGGGGCGGTTGGGAGCGTTCGGGAACTTCCACGTGATATGGCGCAATGACGAGAGCTCGTCCTGGAGGAAGGTCCAGCCGGCGCCCGAGTCGCCGAGGCCATGCAGCCAGATAACACCTGCCCGCGCGCATGTCGCCGTCGTCGTCGTCGCCATCGTCGTCGTCGTTGCCACGCAGAGGAAGCTCAAGACCACAAAGCCCAACCCGATCATATAGGTATGTACGGTCTGTACGAATGTACGCGCAATGTAAGGTATCTGCATACTGTTCAATACCAGCTTTTGTACGTGTACGAAAGCTTGTACGGTCTCGTACAGCCTCACTGAATTCGCGTAAAAAGTACACACCTGCCTCGCAGTCCAAGCTCCATCCAAGGTCCGCGTTCACAATGCACAGTACAACTGCGTATCCACTCCACGTCTTGCATCCATAGCCAGTCTCTTTGTGGTCTTGCAGGCAAGGCTACGTGATATCGGAAGATAACAAGGCCGAACGCTGTGGTGAGAGTGCAAAAGACTATCAGTGGTTCTTCTATCCTAGTTTGTGTACTGAATAAGCGATTTTAAACTCGCTGTTTTTGGAAAAGTCCTAATTCACAGTGGCAGGAGCCCGAAAGGTTGCGCAAGATCGCACATGGAGGCCGAGCGCAAGCCGCTGCCATGGCGCCCGTATGTAGTGTTGCTCCTCAGTGGCGCCACCAAGGACGAGAAGGCCTGTCTCGATCGACTCCAGGACGTGCTCAGTGGCGCTCTCACGCCCCGCGAGCGCAGTGTCTTCAAGGTTGTCACCCGCACCGACCTCGGCAACTTCAAGGACCATGCACCTGCCGACGTCCTCGCTGGTGCGTTCCACGCGCTCATTGAGAAGGATCGCACCGAGTACGTCCAAGCCAACGCTGCCAAGTTTGTGAGCAAGCAGAAAGTCCCCGCGGTCTTGGACCGCGACGTTCGGCTCGCGTCCAGCCGAGGGACCATGGTCGACTCGGCCAGAGGCCAGGCCATGACGGTGGCAGCGCCAGTCGATGCGATTACAATGCCTCCCACGGATTGCGTCGACGATGACATGCTGAGTGCAGCTCAAGCGGCGCTGGAGCACGACGCCCGCGACGGCGCGCCTTCGCACATTTATGTCCTCTTCGACTACCCGGCGTCGGTCGCCGAAGTGCGCGGTCCGCCTCTGCAGTTTCGTGCTCGTCATCATGCTGACACTGTAGGTCTCATTACCTACAAGATGACAGGCACCGAGGGGCCCAAGGGCGTTGCGCTCTCGGCGCTCGTCGACAGCGTCGTGTCCGTGGTCTTTCCACTCCGCGCGACGCTGCGACCGTCGCCCGTCGTGCTAGCGCCAGAAGAGCTCCCCAAGCCCGTCGTTCCCGAGTCCAAGCTTGTTGAACCACCGGCCAAGCTTCCTGCCAAAGGCGGCAAGCAGAAAGCGCCGTCACCGTCGCCCGAACCTGACGTCGTCGCACCCGTCGTCGCGGCGCCGGTGGTCGAGGTCCCCGTCGAGCTACCTGGGTACGCTTCTATTCGCAGTGAGAACGTTTGCATTGAACGTGGTACGTAGAGAAGGCAAGCTGCACAAGGATCTCGTGGCGGCGGCGGCCGTCGGCGGAGTCGAGTGGACGGACTTTTCGTTTTCGACACTGCACTGCGCGACCGAGGCGGGCGAGCCTCGCACGATGGTGACGCTGACAAAGGAGCTCAAGCAGATGCTCACGGACATTGCGGTCGCGAAATGTGCGTTCAAGCAGTGGCTCAGTACGGTCAACATCGTCGACGTACCATACGAAGTGCCGGGCCGCCCCCTCGAGCAACTCTTGCGCACCTACAACGAGCTTCTGGACCCGATTTACGAGCCGAGCGTCGGCGTCGCGGGCATCCTTATGGCCATGAAGGAATCGATCTTTCGCGTCAGCTCCAAGGACCGGCGCGTCGCACCGCCACCGACAGTACGCACGTCAGCATGGAACCGCTTGACATGATCTTGGTGCTAGAAAGCAGCGACGATGTTACCTCAATTCGTCGACCATGGCGACGTCGCCCGGGTGCGCTTGATGCAAGCTCTGCATCTCTACAACTCCAAGCCCGAGTGTTATCGGTCCGGCGAGCCACGCGTGCTGCTCGGTTGGCGGCTAGTCGCCGGTGCATTGAAGCTCATGCAGCTGTTGTAGGCAAGAGCTTGGATGAAATTGAGAAGGAGATGTGGCTACTCAGCGATCTCCCGGGCGTGGGTTTCCAGGGTCGAAAGGGCATGCCGGTTGCGCCGACGCTCAGTCTTGTCGAGCGAGGTGTCCAGGACACGGAGCTGATGCAGTTTCATGGGTACTTCCATTCACCGATCCCATCACGCGCGACGGCGTGTAGGTTGTCGATGCACGACGTGCACTATACGCGCAAGCTGCTCGAGTTTGAAACCATGCTGGGCCACAAGTGGGAGCGCAAGCTCCGGGACCGAACCTACATGGAGCACTTGCCCAAGCACGTCTTGCCGCAGGTTCGCCGAAGCGCGGTACCTTCATACTTACGCGTTTGATGTAGCGGCTCGCAGCACTTGTTGGCCTCAATGCCGTACTGCTCAAACGCTACTATGCGCCGGATGACTCTCTCCTCGTCGCGGGACACATTGCAACGCCGCAAGGCAGAACGTGCACAGATAGATGGGCAGCCATCGACTGGGTCCGGTACGCGTGCGGCCATGAAATTGGGTGACGACAAGCCCGGTATGCTAGGTACCGTCCGCCATTTAGTGAGTGGGAAGCCGAGACACTCTTGCCGCGCGCGTACTTGACGCCGCGCACGGTGATGGCGCTCGGAGCGTGCGTCAGCCTCTCCCATGCCGAACTCGAAAGCGTACGTGAAGTGACGCACTCGTTCTTTCCGTCGGACCATGCTGTCATCCGCGTCACCGAAGCGCCGCATGCCACAACGTGGCTGACGGTGTATAAAGACTGGTGAGATCGTCGTTCGTGGAGAGCACGTCGTTTGGACAAGTGGGGCTAGGCACCACTTTGGTCTGCGTCCAAGCAGCGCCGGGTTCGCCATGAACTTTCACGCAACGTTTGAAGATGCATCCCATTTGACGATTGCGCGCCAAAGCGACCGGACGATCCTCTTGACGATGACACTTTCGTCCGGCCTCGTTGTCTCCATCTCGTCGGACGGCAGCATTCAGCAAGAGTACGCCAATCGGACGGGCCATGTCAGCGCGCCCAACCAGCACGAGACGTACGTCATCCCTATTCGGTCGATTGCAATTCACTTGGCCAACGCTAGACGCCGTGTCGTGCTCGGTCGAGGGACTGTCATTAGCTCCCGCACCGACGGCAGCCAGGTCATCATGTACGCCAACGGCCACGTCGGGAAGCGGGCGAGTGCCGCCGACGCGTTCTGGACGGTCGATGAGGGCGGGAGCGTCTATGCAATCGCTGCGCACGCCAAGAAGACGCCGCCGCCAGCGTCTGTGCCCATCGCGCTCGAGGTCGACCCCGAGTCGAAAGCGGTGATTGCGCACCGCGGCGACGGCGTCGTCACCGTCACGCACGTCAACGGGTGTGCCTCCACAGGGCTCTCCATGGGCTCATGCCGCATAGGTCGTACTTGACGCAGCACGCCGACGGGACTCAAATGCTCGGCAACGGCAGCAACAGCCACGTGGTAGGACGATACATGGAGTAGATGCGATACGTCATGGCGACAAATCACGTGCAGATTGTGCGCAAAGAGGGCTACGCCGAAGTGAGCATCGATGTGGACGTCAACCTTACGGCGCAGCGGCACGCCGAGGGCATGAAGATTGCCGTCACCAAGGGCGGCATTCGCACGCGCAGCGTCGTGCGGTTCGTTCGAGTAGTCGCGTACGCCGCATCGCATCGCCTGCGTAGGTTGGACGATGGGACGACGATTGAAGTCGACTACGACACGCGCGTCATCGCGTCTGTCCACGGTATCCTGCGTCTGCGCAAACCGGATGGCACGATCGTGATTGCCCAAGACAATGGTCTCGTCGAGTTTCGCCCGCGGTCGCTCGCCACCTCGTCGTATCCACGGGTACGCTGTCTTCAACGAAGTATCATGTTGATATTTGCATCGTTTGTAGAAGGCGGCACGGGATGATGAAGAAGAGCCCGACTCGTCCAGCGGCGCCTACTACTTTGACTGCGTCAACGGCAGTCTCCGCATGAGTGACCACGAACACAACCATTTTGACTTGACGATCGGCGACGGCAAGCACCCGCCGGTGCTCCAGGTCGACCTCGCGGGCGTTGTCTCGCCGAGCGACTGCGCGAACTTTGGCGTCGACCCAATTGCTGCCAACGCCGTCGTCAACGATCCGCTGCAGCCGTTCTTGCTTATTCTGCAGGGCGACGGCACGGGCGTCGAGGTAGCAGCTCGATACGTTCCAAGCACGTGGATTGTTTGGTTGCGTGTAGGTGCTTCGACCAATGGACGTTGACGACTACCTCGCACTCGAGCGCCGGGACGCCCGGATCGAGCGAGTGCCTAGCATTGCCGTCGGTGCTAGCAATGACAACAAGCTGCACGTGTTTACACACGGCTTGGGACCGTTCGAACCGGTCGCTGTCGCCGACTCGAGCGAGCGGGCGGCCATTTTGGCGGCGGTAAAGATCCCGGCACGGGCCAGTGCGTTGCTCTTGCAGCAGCTACACAATACCGTACCGCTGCGCCCGCTCGCCGTGAGCTTGGTGCGGCGTTTGCGCGAGATCGTGCCGTTGGACGCTGCGCAGTTTCAATCGATGGTACGGTAGCACACTTTCGTACGGTAGTGGAAATGGTTTGTAGGTTGACGCGCTCTCAGCCTGGAACGCGTGGGCTGCCAATCGAGAGCTCACAAAGGACCAGTACGCGGTCATGGACCCGCGGGACGAAGAGACGCGGGCCCAGGCGCACGTACGCGCATCTATCTCGGTTGGAAGAGTCCTGCTGCACGCACGGAGGACTAGGCGATGGAAAAGAAGATTGCGGCAGCGTACAAAGCGACGCGCGCGCGGCTCAAGGCCGAGCGCCTCAAGAAACGCGAACGCGAACGCTTGGCCAAGCTCAACTCGGCGCTCGAGGAGGCGGGGCACGAGCCGTCCGCGGCCATGACGACGCTCAAAGAGGTACGACATGACCATGTCAAGGCCGAGCCTTGATGCATATTCCTTAGGTGGAAAACGAGGAAGACGACGAAGACGGTGGAATTCCGTTTTATCTAGTAGTACGATATCCGAGCAACGTGTGTAGATGACGACGACGACGAGGCGCACTACCCCGGCATGCACTCGGACGACAGCGACGCCGACTCGCGCGACGACCTCGATGTCAACGTGGACGACGAGTACGAACTCCTTCTCACCGCCTTTTCGCACGCCGACACCGAGTCCAACGGCCGCCTAAACCGTGTGCAGAGTACGTACGATGCTGTTCGAGTGTCGCCTCATGCGATGCATGCCAGCGCGGCGAGCACTCGTGCATGCGCTGGGCTTTGGTGTGAGCCAGGCCGACGTCAACGGCGCCATCGAGACGTACTCAGAGGCCTACGACGACACGGTACGACTCGCTCTACGAGCGTCCTCGTCACGCAGTGTAGGTGACGTTCGAGGTGTTTGCGCGCATCTTGACCTTTATGAAAGACAATCATGAGGAAGAAGCTAAGACGCCGCGCGCGATGCCACTCGCACGCAAACTCTCGCCGCGCATGAAACATCCATGATACAAAGACACTTCTGTTTGTACAGCATCATCAAATGTAGTCAATACGTCATGTTGCGACGCATGGGCGACACCTTGGTCGGCCGGACATGGGGAAGGTAGCCCATGAGACGCTGCTCCGACTGCTTGGACGTGTCCCGCGCGGCGGCGTTCGACGACTCGGTGTACACGTGTGGAAAGTGCTCTGCGCACATGTCCTTGATGAACGCTTCGTCGACGTCGTTGGCTTCGTCGAGGAATCGCTGGGCGGTGCGCCATGCATCGCGCTGGCGGTCGAGAGGCTCGATGGGCAGCCACGGTTCACTCTGCGCCTGGCGCAACGGGCTTGCGTGCCGTGGCGGCGGCGACTTGGCTCGGAGTCGCGACATCATGGTTGTCGCGAGGTTTTGGATGTACGCCTCATCCTCGTCGTCCATGGGCAATGTCGGACGATTTAGCGTCCTACAGAAGTTGCTGATAGGAGAGAAAGAAAGCTATGATGCCTTTGTACGGTGTCGGGGCACGTGCAAAGAAGAGGCGGTCGCTCTCGACAAGGGCCATCTTGGCCTGGTGCGGCTTGAGTGGCTGGGGGTTCAACCGGCTGCTGCTCCTCTCTTCGTAGTTGTTGTCGCCCAGCATTGTACTCTCATCAATATGGCTAAACGACGCGCTGCGTTCTCGGTCCAGGGACGACGACGAGCTCTCGCGACTGGACTTTTGGTTGTTTGGTAGCAACTCGTTTGGCTACAAGGCAGTGTGTCGGGCGTCGTTGCAGAGAGACAAGTCTACCATGCGGGGGCCGCTGCTGTCGGTCGGATCGACGCGGTTCTGGGACGTTTTCGGCGCCATAATCTTGGCGGACGTCACCGCGCTCGCGTCCATGAGACGGTGCAGAAGCGCGACCGTCGACTCGGACACGTGCTTGGCCGAGAGGTCGACAAAGATGCGTCGAAACTACGAGCTGGTATGCAGCGAACTCGATTCTCTCTGCGTACGTACGCATCGCAGCCGCTCCCGCACGACCTGGTCGTGGCTTGAGCCTTTGAGTAGAAATTTGCGAGGCAGCGGCGCCGAGAGACACTCCATCTCGAGAATCTACGGTGTGAGTGTTGTACTTGCTAGAACAAAAGTCCGAATGAACATGTACGGGCTTGAGGTGCTGGCGCAGAGTCTTGTGGCGGGCTTGGATCTTGCGCGTCTTGTCGCCGTCCTTGAACGCGACGTGGTAGAGCTCGACGCTGCGGCCGGACGCCGACGTCGCTGTCGAGTGCCCCGTAAGACTCAGTAGCACTTGGCGCATCGGCTCGGGAATGCAACAATCTAAGCTTAGAAACAACGCAAGCGTCCGTTGCGCCGGATAGAAACGAGCGAATAACGACCTTGAAACCCACGACGCCCTTTCGTGTTGCGTGCACCGACTCGCCCGTGGTCTATGTCAATATTTTGCGTGGCGACGCAATCAACCGACCGTGACCGTCACAGTTTACGCGATGCAGCCAACATCATGGGCTAACATCCAGTAGTTCAACGCCAACGTCACTCGAGCTATATAACATTCGAGAGAGCACTGCTATGGTTCATTCTAGAGAGCGCTGCTATGGTTTGCTAATTGCTCGTCGACGTGTTGCCGAAGAATCGCAATGAGCTCGTCCGGGTCAAACTCGGCCATGGCGAGCGGGGCGGCCTGCCACGTCTCGTACCCACGCACGTTTCCATGGTGGTCCTGGTTGCCTACATGGAGCATTTGTTGCCATGACCACACGCTCGACGTACTGGGCGTAAAGCGATGTGCATGGCTGGCGTCGAGATGATTCGCATGGCGTGCAGGTTCGTGCGGCTGCGGTTCACGTCAGCGTGCCAAACCTTACTATGTATATGGAACAGTACCTTGGCGGGAACGTGGCGCGGTGGCCGTGGCGCGGCCAGATCGAGATCGGGAAAGAGCTGAAGCATCGCTGCGTTGAGCTTTCTGACGCACACGACGTCACCGGGCTCGTCGGCATCCACTTGGGGCGCGTCATTGTTGTCATTGGCGGTGCGGTCCGTCTACGCAGCACACGTATAGAGCCGCCTCGAAAGGGATGTCATCGAACGGTGGCGTAGGACGCAGAGACGCTGTCCGCATGGTCAAAAAACTGGTGTAGCTGCTCAATGCTCTCGTTTGTAAAGTGAATGCGCGAGATCTGAGCGCAGCAGTGCGCCAGCTACATCATACATTGTCCGCGACAATATCGACTAGGGATCGACAGTATGTACTTGGTGCTCGCGTTCGACCATGACCAGTGTGCTCCAAGCATGTTGCAGAGGCTTCTTGCGAGGAAACACGTCTAGAACCCATGGGTATCCACTGCAGACCTACACATCGTTGTGAGGACTTGACGGTGGAAATGGGGCGGACGTCAAAGATGTGGCGGCGAAGGAGGCTGTAGCGGGCCTGCGTCGAGCGCACGCGTCCTCCGTCCTGCAATTGCAGGTGGTAGAGACCGATGGCTTTACCCTTGGGGCCAAGCACGACCGAGCTGCCTTGCACCGAGAGCGTCACTTGTCGGACCATCGGGCAGCGGAATGGATCTTGGACAGGCGCGATCGATTGTCACAGGAAACTTGAGGTTTGTATTTGTTGCTAGAGGTTTTCGGTAGCCAGCTTGATTTCGTTTTGGATCAAGAGAACCATGGCGAAGAAGGGGAAGACGGCCGTGATCCTCAACGTGTACGACCTCATGGAGGCGAATGCGTACACCCATGGTAAGTTGACGTGCGGTATGTGAAGGCCCATCATCAGAGCGTGGCGGTATGTAGGCCTCGGCCTTGGGGCCTTCCACTCGGGCGTCGATATCGCCGGCGACGAGTACTCGTTCGCCGGCGGCGCAGGCATCTTCACGTGCCGGCCCAAGCAGGCCGACGGCGCCGTCTTCCGCGAGTCCATTCCCATGGGCTACTTTGAAGGCTCGTCCAACGACGCTCGACAAGTCCTCGACGAGCTGCGGTCCGAGTTTCAAGGCCATCAGTACAACCTCCTGACAAAGTACATGCATCGATCTGCTACGTGGCGGGCTCATCGTGCTCTATTGGCGCTAGGAACTGCAACACATTTTCCAACGAGCTTTGTCTACGACTCCTTGGCGTTCCGATTCCAGCTTACGTGAACCGCATGGCGTACCTCGGGTCGTTCTTGAGCTGTCTCTTGCCGCGCGAGCTCACAGGTCAAGCGCCAGTCGAGGCCGACTCGACACCTACAACCGCCAACACCCCGCGGGCCTCGTACACGTCGTTTGGCGGTCCGATAGCGTGCGATGTACGACGCGTTCATGCTCATGTGGAGGATGGCGTAGGCTCGGGCATCTCGCTCCGTGGCACTGCACCCAGCACCGACACGGACGAAGACATGGAGGTGCGCCGAGAGAAGCGACGCCTTGCTGCCATGCGCCGCATTGAGCTCATGCAGGAAAGCTCCTGAGGGTTCTATTAAACTACTCACAACGTCATCTCGACGATGCCCCATCTACAGTCTACGTAGTCGTCTGCAGGTCGGCGTTTGGCTTCGACAAGATCCCTATAGCTTAACTACAGAGAGCAAGTCGTTGCGCTCCTCTGCAAAAGCACGTTATGTGACCTAGTTGCTTGCAGCATGGTCCACGCTTCATGTCAGCTTTAGCGCTGGGTAGCTCACTTCTCGGCCACGCGACGTGACGACGCGTGCCTACGAGCATCTACTACCCACAACGATTCAAAAGACACCGCGATCGTGCACTCATACTGAACAGTTGAATACACGCATGCTTACTACCGATGGACGTTCTTGCACATCACCTCTCTCGAAGTCCGTTGCGCTTGATTTCGGGTGTCGGCGTCACCGAGGTCGTCGTTCTTGTCCGCGAACGGGTCTGGATGCGGCACTCAAAACCCTTGCTTCGTACCGACAGTCACAATGTCCTTGAGAACCACCTCACCTCGTTGATCTTGCGGTTCGCGAAGAGCTTTTGAAGTGTTTCCGAGATGATGATCGACTTGGCGAGCGCTTCGCTCTCGGTTTCTTTGGGTACAAGAATACTGACAAGGACGGCATGGAGCGAGATGCCGAACGACTGGGTGACGTACACGTTGCTCGTGATGACGTTCTCAAAATATTGGGGGTCACGCCTGCAAGCGCTTGAAGATGTTCGTCTTGCGGTGGGCACTCTTGAGGCGGCCATGAAACATCCAGACGCCAATGTCGCCCGAGCGCAGCCAGCCCACTTCATCGACCACCTTCTTGGTCTTGGCATCGTGATGACGTAGCCGATAAAGGTGGACGGCCGCAGTAGCCCACCTCGCCGCGGTCGTTGACAGGCATGCGCGTCGGATCAATGTCGCCGTGGACCGTGTCAGTGACGCTGCAGCCCATTTTTTTGGGGCACGAGCATCATCTCGCAGCACGACAGGGGCGCGCCGACGGTGTGTATGAATAGCAGGTGACACAGGAAGCCCAAAAACAAAAGAATGGTACCCATAACGTGCGTACAGCCTGCACTATGCGTAGATCAAATTGGTGAAAACTGATACTGACAATGGAGTATCAGTGTATCAATGTATCAGTCGACCAGCGCGGGAAGCATAAACTCGACTATCGCACGCTGCAGACACGCTACGAGCACCATACTTGCATTTTTGGACTCCCCGAGACATTCTCTATACATCTAGTACGAAACAAGAGACTTTGTTTTAAACTCCAAAAGTCGGCAACACACAGCCGAGGAGCGCAGAGCAGTCACATCCAATCCGAATACTGCTCTCCGGATAAATCCTGGGCGAACAGAATTCTGCCGAATATAAGGTGACATGCTGAATTAGAATGCCGAATGATATGTTTCAGAATGGCAGATGCCGAAATGGCAGATCGGCGACATGCCATTGCCGAATTTTATGTTAGAATGGCAGATGCTGAAATGGCTGCCCCGCGCCTGCCGTTCTTTGTCTATGGCACGCTCATGTACATAGATCTGCAGTAGACATCATGTTCTCATGGCTGCTGCAGGAAGGGCTTCCGCAACTACGACAAGCACGTGCGTGGCTTCTCCAGCCTGCGCTTCCTGCACGACCGCGCCTACGTCGAGGGTGCGGCCTTGTATCACTTTGCGTACGGGTACCCGGGCCTCTACGCCTCGTCGTCTGCCGACTGCGTCTATGGCGAGCTCTTGACGGCCGACGATCCTATCGAGTACGACCAGCTTCTTGCGGATTTAGACGCACTCGAAGAGTATTTTGGCCCGAACGACCCGAGTAACGAGTACGACCGCGTCCGTGTCCAAGTGCATCCAACGGACGGAGGTCCCATTGACGCGTGGGTCTACTACTGCAAGATTCCTCTCGAGAAGGCAAAGGAGCGCGTCGCCAGCGGCGACTGGCGCGCATACATGACGTCGATGCCTTAGACGATGTTAGTTGCGCCGAGCGGCCTTTTTAATGTCGGCTTTCCGCGCTCGAATCGTCGCGAGCTCGTCGTCAATGGCTTGCCGCGCTTCTTTGTTCGTCTCGGTCTGCCGTCGCTCGCGCAGCCGGGCCTCCCGGTCCCGCAACACCAACAGAAGCGGTTTCTGGACAGCGTCGGTTGCCTGCGCCACGACATGCTCAACGACCGACGGCGCCTCGTCGGAGGCTTGTGCAAAAAAGCCGCCGAGACCACTCGCGCCAAAGAGCACCATCCAAAAGCCCGTCCAGTGGTAGGCCCGGAGCTCGGTGAGATGGAGTTTGAGCTGCTTAGCGTTCTTCTTGACCAACGCGCCTTGGGTGTTGGAGCAGCTTTCGCACTGCGGATAATAGCTAGCCCAGAGAGATGAGCAAGTGTTTTGGTAAAGGATGTAGGCACCGCTGGGTCACGGGACCAAAGAGTTTGGCCCATACGCGCGCGTTCTCGGCCTTGGCGACGAGCACCGGTGGCATGTGGTCGGCGTGGTACTTGGACCGCTTCGTGCCACACGTGTGGCAGCCGTAGAGGCGGCCAAAGCTTTGAATGACGGCCCGCGCATTCCCGTCGGCATACTAGATATACTCAGTTCACAGCGCCAATAGCAGCATCCAACGATACTTCGATTGTGGCAGGAAGCGAGATGCGGGCGTGACCAAACGCACCGGGATGGCGAAAGTCGCTCGGAGCAAGCGCACGGAACCGACCGCCAAGAAGCCTACCGTTGCGTGATCATCACGAAGCCCTACAGTGGCACTGGCACCGGAAGAGAAGGAGCCCCGACGTAGCGGCCGCCGTAAGCTGGAGCGGTGTCGGCTCGGTCGAGCCATGGCGAAGGCAAAATGCACCGGCCATGGCGCTTGAAGACGCCACACCAAGGCCACCGAGCAGGCTCGGCAAGACCGGCATCGCGACCGAGATACGTAGGACGTACATGCCGAGGTGGGTCAGCGAGACGCCACCGAGGAAGAGCGCGCCGCCGCCCACAGCATCGATCGCTGTTCGCTCGAGCGCGCTCACGAGGACTTGGCTGCGCAAGGTCCCGAGCTTTTCCTGCCACAGCGCCAGCCGCTCATCCCAAGCACTGTCTTCGTCGTTCGCCATGCCACTTTGATCAAGTGATACGATTGGCTGAATTGCTGGCGTCTCAGCCCATGCTTTGAATTTGTCAAGCCACTGTCATTTCAGCCAATGGAATGGGGCTATCAGTGCCCACCGATTGGCTGAAACGGTATCTTTTGGGCGATTCCGACAGCGGCCCTATCCCTTGCGTTTTGTCTGAACTGTGATGTGCAGCGACTGACCTTATGTTCGAGATGAGTATTTCAGGTGATTTGAGGGCGCTGCGTGAGGCTGCTGCCGCTCCGTCGCGCGACAAGCTGTTTTCTTTGACTTTGCCAAGTGGGGAACTATGTTTCGAAGCGCGACCAAATCTCTTGAAAGGGCGGGGGCTCTGTCTGCAAGGTAGCTGCGCGTCTCATATTCCCGCCAAAAATCTCGAAGCCCAAGCGTAAATGATACATGTCGACCTATCGACCGGCTTCCTCGCGACAGCAAGGGGCAGGTGCCCAGGGCGCAACACCCCAAGCTTTTTGCGACAACGCGCATCGCGAGCTCACGTTTCTTGAAGGGATTTCTTTGTTTTGATCAGACAATGCTGTGCACGAGAAGCAAAGAGCAAGGTAGCGATCTTAAAGTCTTGAAGCTCAACGAGCCATGGATTGGGCGCGCTGGTGTGACTGATTGGTGACCGGTCGACCCGATCAGCACAAGTTCATGAAAAGCATCAACATACCATAAACTCATTGTGCAAGCGTGCTAGTATCGATCGCGAGGTCACCACCCCTGTCTTGTCCCAGCCACAAAACGTGGTGCCATTTTGGATCGACAACATGTGATTTTGAGTATCTCGCCCGTCCGAGCGTGTCATGCTTATGGCGAGGAGCAGGCGACCATCGGCAAGGGACTCATACTGTAAATAGGGACGACGATATCATGCTCCGGCACTTCTCTCGTATGTAATGGCCTCTCCGTCTGAAGTCGATCAAATAGCAAATTCGGCCGCGTCGTACGTCTCGTGCAGCAGTATTCAATTCGCCACGATGGCCACGATCAACGCGAACCTTCACGATGCAATTACTTACTGTCAGTGCGATTTCTTGAAGACACTTGCCCCCAGCGATGTCCGACTGGACGTTCTCCTCCTCCGGACACTGGTTGCGATCGCGGTGGTCGCGCTGAGCCTCCATTGCCTCCCGCGCACGTGGGCCATGATGGCGCAAAAGCGTCGCATCGCCAGCGCGCTACGGAGCCTGCCCGGCCCCCCGGGGCTTCCGCTTCTTGGCAACTTGCTCCAGCTCGGCCAACACATGCACGACCTGCACCTCTGGAAGGTACTACTACCATTCACTTTTTGACCATGACAGCTCAGCGTGCGTATGTAGCGCCACTTGGCTGCCGTCTACGGGCCCACGTATGCGATTCGCGTCGACGTGGTCATGAACGGCTCGATCGTGACCAACAAGCCGTGCAACATTGAACACATTCTCAGCACCAACTGCAGCAACTACGTCAAGCCACAGATCATCCAAGACGTGTGCAAAGAAGTGATGGGGCAATCGATCTTTGCCATCAACCCCGACTCGCCGCTCTGGGCGTGCCAGCGCAAGCTCATGGCCAACATGTTTTCCGTCAACTCCTTCCGGAAATACATGGACTCGGTGTTTGTCGACGCTGCCGATGACGCGCTTGGCCGGCTCGACGCCGCCGCGCGCCGCCACGACACGGTCAACCTCGAGACGACGCTGCTCACGCTGACGACCACGATCGCCTTCCGCATCGGGTTTGGGCGCCACGTGCCAGAGGAGATGACCACCGACGCCTTTCACGGGCTCTTCCGCGAGGCGGGGGCAATCACCGCCAACCGCTTCACGCGCCCGTGGTACAAGTTTGCAGGCGCGATCTTGCCGTCCGAAGCCCGGCTCCGGACCGTCGTGGGACAAATCGACGCGGCTCTGTATGCGCTCATTGCAGAGCGCAAGGCCGCGCCATTGACACCAGGTGCGGTCGATGTGCTCTCGCAGCTGCTCGACCAGCAGCGCCGCGGCCTTCTCGAGCTCAGCGACACGGTCGTGCGCGACACGATGATGACGGTGCTCTTGGCGGGGCGCGAGACGGTTGCGAGCGGCCTCCTCTGGATCCTCTACTGCGTGAGTCGCCACCCGGCAGTCGAAGCCAAGCTCTTGGCCGAAGTCGATGCGGTCTCGAGTGTCGACTACGAGTCAATGGGCAGCCTCGTGTACATGGAGGCCGTCATGAAGGAGACGTGGCGGCTCTTCCCCCCGACGCCGCTCGAACTCAAGGCGGCCGTCGCGGACGACGTGCTGCCCGATGGCACGTTCGTCCCCGCGGGTGTCAATGTCGAGTTTTCGCCGTTTGTTATGAACCGGGATCCGACCCGGTGGCGTAACCCCGATGTGTTCGAGCCCGAGCGCTGGCTTGAGCACGGGTTCTCGCCCACCGATTTTGAGTACCCCGTCTTTAACGCTGGAAAGCGCAAGTGCGTCGGCCAGCGCATCGCGATGCTCCAGACAAAGTTCATTCTCTGCAAGCTCTACGGACACCTCCGATTCGACATCCTCGACGAGAAAGACCCGACGTTTGCGCTTGGCATCTCGCTCTTCCCGACCAACGGCATGGCCGTCAAGCCCGTCTTGCGTCGACCGTCCAAGCTGTCGGCAACGCCAGCATCGGCTGCATGAGCGCCAAGTATTCTCGTCGTGTGCAATGTTGTACAAAAATGTAGTGTCCTGAAAATTGTCCATCTTTCTCCTCCGATGATCTTCTTCCAACATGATACTAAGGCCATAAACATCCGGGAATAATACCCAAGTGAAATGCGAGGGAATTCTTAATGGTTTTGCTTGAATCGCAAGGACAGATCTCTCAGCTCTCGGCTTTTGGCAGGGCTGGGGTTGGAGCGGCCCCCGCTCTATTTTGAGGCCCCCACTTTCATTCCGCTATGCGAGCACTCGCCGTGACGCAACATGAGTTGTCGTATGTACAATAGGATATGATCTTAATAGCGCAACGAGAGGAAACACGCCACGCCAGCCTTGATCCAGTAGTCTTGGTCGGCGAATTGCACCTAGAGCGCATACAGATTGCCTCGAGGTCCGCCGTTGCAGGAAGAGTCTACCTGCAGGTTGGTCTCCGAGACAAGCGAGTTGCGCCAGATCGTGTCCTTGTCGGACGGAATCTCGATCCACATGACAAAGTTGGTCGAGTGGCCCGTTGTCGAGAGGGTTCCTGTTCGTGTCAGAATCTTGTACACGGGGCAGCGGTAAATGCCACTCTGTGGCGCTTGTCGGCTCCGAATTGGCATCAAGTGAATCACCTACGCCATCATTTGTTCCATATCATTTTGCAGTACGGCCACGACGCACCGGCATCTTGGAAAAGAGCTCCTTCGGGTTGGGGTCCACGAGCGACTTGCGCTGGTAGTCCCACCGAGCGCCTTCGATGAAGAGCCCGTATGTGTAGCAACCACCTTCGACGGGCTTGACGATGATCGTGTCGACGGGGTCTGGGTGCATGATAAAGTCCCACGACAACGTGTCGATCGGGATGTTGAAGCCGCGCGCGTGGTTTTGCAGAATGCCCGTGAGGAAACCTTGGGGAAAGAAAAACCCCGACATCCACAGCACGGGCGGGATGCCGTCTGCGACCCAGTTGGTGACAAACCTGAGCCGCTCAAGGAGCTCATCGACCCAGGGATTGAGTGCTTTGAGCGACGGATACGCCTTGCGCTCCCAGAGAGGTGGCACCTAGCGAGCTGTCGTATTGCACGCCGTTGGATTGTAAATCGCGTACCTTTTGGTTGAAGATGCACGTCGACATAGTTTCGAGTTCGGCCGACATGACAACGAGTCCTTTCAGCGCGCGCTGAAGCAGCGGCAACGACGTCTTCATGACGGAAAGTAGATTGTTGTAGCGCTGGGCTTCTTGGACCAAGACCGTGTTCATCGACTCCTCGTACATGACGGGGTACCGGACGCTGATAAATTCAATGTCGAAAAGCGGCGGGAGCTTGGACTCGATCTCTTTTGCTTGAAGCTCGATGATCATCTCTTGGCTTTGGCCGCCACCGGAGCTCATGCGCGGCTGGAGACTCAGAATAATATCAAAGTTGTTGAAGGTCTCGGCGATCGCGCACGTAATGTTGGCGTTCTCGTGCATGCCAAAGACTTCCGGGTCCGGGTTGAGCGGGAGACCGTCAATGTACGAGAGGTAGTGGTTGAGTGTCGCGCTCGGGGCTTGCGGGTTCGACACCGGGATCGACTTGTACGTGCCGCTGGTCGAGAAGGCGTAATTGTCCAGCAGGATCTTCTCGTTGAAGAAACCTTCGAGGATCACGTCAATCGTGCGCATGTCCTTGTCGTCCGTGACGCGTCCGCCATAGTTGACGACCGACGTCATGACGCAGAGCACGCGGTATGGCACGACTTCGTAGAAATCCAAAAACATTCGAGCTGCGCGCGCGAAATGTCGTAGTCCGTGTCGTTGAACGCGTACGGGATGTTCCAGCCGAGTGGGCCGAACCGCTTGCGCTCAATCACGACGGCGTGGAAGAAGGCGAGCCCAAAGAGCAGCTTCCGGTACTTTTCGGTTTGCTCGTCGCGTCCAGCATCTCGTCCGTCATCTTGATGTACGAATTCTTGAGGTTCGCGCGAATGCCTTTGGGTGGCTCCTTGGTCATTTTAACGCCGTTTTGGAGCACGGACGTCGGGAACGAAGCACTCGGGCGCGACGTGAGCCAGAGTCGAAAGTCGCGGTGTGTCGTCTCCGCGTTGAGCTCCTCGCAAATGCGCTCGAGAGACGGCATCCACGAAATCGCGAGGTGGCAGTTCTGCAGCAGCACCCACTTGCCGCTCGAGATGGCGTCTTCAATCATCTTGGTGGCAATGACACCTTGGCCTTGCCCGAGCGAGATCGAGTTGAACTTGCGGCCCATTTTCATCACGTCGGCAAACTGGAGAAGGTCTTTGGCCGGGTCCGAGCCCGTCGAGAGGATAAAGATGAGCGGCGTCGTGACACTCGCGTCCGCAAACGAGCCCGGCAAGTCGAACGTCGGTGGCTCAATAAACCGCTGGCCAAGCTGCTCGGCGACAAAGAGCTGGATGGCTTCCATCATGCGATCAGGGCGGATGCACCGGAGGACGCAGAGCTTCTGGAACGTATTGAGCGTGAACGGAAAGTGGCTCGGGAGGCGCGCGAGGTGCGGGTCCACGGCGTCAAAGATGCTCCGCCACGCGTCCGTCTCTTCAATGAGACACGAGACGAGCGACTCGAACTTTGGGAGCGTCGTGAGGCAGCAAAACTCGGTCCACGCACGGTCTTCGATCCAGTCGGAGCTGGGGTTGCGGCTGTCCGTATCTTTGGTCGGCGTCGAGCCAGAAATGAGGAAGCGCCACTCGAGTGCGTCAATCTCGCCGCGGCCTTGAAGCAGCTTGATCGTCAAGAGGAACGAAAACAAGAGCTTGTGCTCTTCGAAAAGCGACCGGCAAATGTTCTTGTAGAGCGAGTACGTCGTCGAGTCCATGAGATTCACAAGCCGCGTCGCCAGCACATCGCTCGGCTCGGCCGCGCGGATGCTCTACGAATGGCCGAATACACACATAGATACGATTATCGGGAGATGATACCTTGACAAAGAGCTCGACAAACCACGTGAGCGAGTACTGGTACATCGGGTCGACGATCGCGAGGTCGGCAATGCAGAAAAAGAGCAGCGACGCGCGATTGGCGACGCCTCGGTACAGCTCGCGCGTCTCGTCGATGGTTTTTTCCGTGATTTCGGCCTCGGCCATCTTCTCGTTGATGTCTTCGGACGTCACTTTGGCCTTGCCGAGCATCTCAATCAGATCCGTGTCGTCGAGGATATTGCCCTGCGAGTTGGCGAGCATGTACAGGATCTTGTTTTCAATGTCGAGGAGCTCGGCCTTCATTTTCGCGTTCGAGATGACGAGGTTGTTCTTCTTCTCGGCGAGCTCGGGCATCTCTTCTTGAACGACGACACCCAACGCTTGCTCCTCCAATCCAAACGGCGTGATCGTGAAGTTGAGGAGGCACACCTTGACGCACGTCTCGGGTGGGTAGTGCGGGTTTGGCAGCTTCGTGGTCATGAAAAACTTGAAGGCCATGTTGTACGGGATCGTCGAGTCGCCAATCTTCATCATGAGCTGTCCGCCTTGTTTGAATTTGGTTTGGAGCAGCACAGTTTCCAGCGCCGCATCGAGAAACTCGGTCACGTTTTCGAGGAGGATCCACTTGCCAAACCGAACACCGTTCTCAAGCGCTTTGATAAAGTTCTTGTCCGAGCTCTTGACAACGTCAATTCCGTTCTCCGAGGTATCTCGCCCAAGGGACTTGATGAAGCGGTTGGCTTGGCCTTGCGGGTCGATGAGCAGTGGCCACCGACGCGCGCGCGCCATGATGATGCCGTTCTGCACCGAGAGGTTGTCGGACGGGAGACCCGCAATTTGCCAGCCCCGGACTTTGACCGGGTCGGCGAGCGTCGTGATGATGTTGCAGTTGCGTGTGTGCGGCACGACCTGCTTGTCGAGCGCATTGTACCACGACGCAATGCAAATGTCTCGAAACTCGCTCGTGAAGCACCCGAGGTAGCTGATCGTGCCGGACGAGATGACGACGTCGCCCACGAGGTTGCGAAAGTCCATGTTGAGCTGCGAAATCGTGATGGTCCAGCGCGCTTCTTCGCCGCCGAGAAGCGCGATGAGCTTGAGCGCCGACTCTACGCGATATAGCGATGAGCAAAGCACTGGTACGCAAGCAAGGACGCACCAAGTCGAATTTCACACTGCCGAACGTCTTGGATGAGCTGGTCTTTCTTTTCGACGGCGGCATTGTACCCTGCCTCGAGCTCTTGGAGCCGATTGACGACCGCCTCCAACCGGCCCTTGGCGTCGGCGAGGACGCGCATGGTCACATCGAGCTCGGCCTGCGCGGTGGCGAGCGCCAGTTTCTTTGGTTCGACCATCTTGGCAATCTTGTTGTACGTGTGCATGGCCCGCACCCACATACAAATGGCTTCACACGCCTAGAAAGTACAAACTATGCTTTCGGAGCGCAGAATACGATATCAAGTACCACGGACGCCTTGCGCACGGACGCGGGCGAGAACTCTTCCATTTCCATGTACGGGTCGATTTGCTGGATGATCTTTTCGCCAATGTTGTCCTTGTCAAACTTGACCATGTCTTCGAGGAGCTTCTTTGCATTGCCAAGAATCGTTTTTTGCGCACTCTCCCAGTAGTCCTTAATCTTTTGGCCTGGCTTGTCCGGATCAGTCTTGAGCGTCGGCTTGATGCCAAAGATGATGCATGCCGCTTCCATCGTCAGCCGCACGCCGTGCGGCGGGTTCTTCATGGCCTTGACTTCGTCAATGTCGGACTTTTTCAGCTTGTTCAAGCACGCTGTCGCGGCTTCGAGTGCCGGCAGCGCTTCGTCCAAGTCGCGCTGCGCGTCATCGGCGATCGCTTTCGTATCGGCTGCCTTCTTGTTGGCACCCTCTTCCTCTACACAAAAGACGTGTTGAGTCATGCGTGGAGCGTTGAGTTGAGAGCGTGTAACCTTTCTCGACGACCGCCTTGGTCTCGTCGGCGTCTTTTTGTCTTCGGTGATCTTGATCATCATGGCTTCGACGTCGATTTGCGTCTTCTCGAGCTGCGGCTTGAGCGCCACGAGCTGCTCTTGCATACCAGCGACTTGCTCTTTGGTCGCAATGATCTTGTCGACGCCGTTCTGAAGGCGACCTAATTCGAGCATCATTCTCCATCTTGACAGAATCGTCAATGCATACTGATCATCATCGACACTTCTTCGCGCTTGGTTTGCAAGACATTTTTGAACGTAAAGAGGAGCTCGAGGTACGACGTCGGCGTCACGTAGTTGTACCGGCGTAGCTTTTGAAAGTAGTTGGCTGACTCGTGCTCGACGGTTTGATGCATGCTCTTCATATAGATGTAGAAATCAATTCAGAAGGTCAAAGCACGTGCGTACCTGAAAGACGTTGACGACCGGGAGGACACTGTCGCCGAGTTTGAGGTCGACGACCGTGAGTGCGTTCATCGCAACCGACTGGAGCGCTTGGGCGGGCCACTCGCTGAACCAGTCGATCGTACAGCAGTTGACGAGCGACGGAAACATACGAATGCGGTCGCGGAACGCACTCCCAAGCGGACTCATGCAGAGCACCATGTGCAAATTCTGACGCACGAGCGTCACGTACTGGCCAAAGATGTTGAGTTTTGTCGCTGGAATCCGCTTCTTGATGCACATGCCGCGGCAGTGATTCGTGATCGCGTCAATGTCTTCGGGCGCATACAAATTCGGCACGTCCCCCGTGTTGAGAATGTTGTTGATGTCTTCGAGCATGATGTCGTGCACAATTTGAACGTCCGAAAACAAAAAGACGGTCGGCTTCTCGTCGACGCCGGCTTTCATAAGACATTTTTTGAGGTCGTCGCGCCAGTCGGCGACCGAGTAGCCCTTGGAGATCTCAATTTGGCTGCAACCGTACTCGGCCATGAAGGCTGCGAGACGCGTGAGACTCTGCCGCCCACTGCCACCGACGCCCAGCAAGAGTGCATTCCCTTGCGGTTGCCGAATAACCTAGTCGTTTCGTCAGTGGACCGCAACTGGATACGTTAACGTACGCGCGCGATGCGGGAAACGTGCTCGATCGCATTCATAAACATGACGAGGTTCATGGGTGCGTTGGATTCTGCGTTGTAGTCGTTGAGGTACTCTTCGACTTGTGCCACGAGCTTCTCCATGTCGCTAATCTCTTCGTAGACTTTCGGGTCGGCGCCAGGAATCATATAGTCGCCAAAAAGCAAGTTTGGTTGGGGCACGACGAGGTCCCACCCTTTCTTTTTGCTCTCTTCCATCGCCGCCGGGTCCTATGAGTTGTGTAAAGTGGCGGGACGTTGTCGTCGCATGCGACGGTACCTTGAGCACGTCTGGGAGGCCCAAGCGTGGGCCAAAGTTGAGCGCAATCTGCGTCTGGAGCTGGTCTGTAAACCACTGGTGGTCGGCGAGCGTCGTGAACCGGTCTTCAAAGACGCGCATGTTCTCGTGGACCCAGAGCCGGAGGAGTTGGTCGAGCTTCGTGATGCGTTTGTTGTCACCCATGAGAAGTCCCTGAAAGATCTTGGCCAAATCGCGCAAGTTGAAGGTATAATGCGCCTTGGACGGTGTCGGCAAAAGCTCTCGAATCACAATGTTGTAAATGTAGATGGAGCTTGAGACGAGCGCGAGGCCCACATCCGGGTGCTTGAGGTCCTCCGAGAACTTGCTTAGGAAGCTCGCGATGATCGTGGCAAATACTTGGCGCTTGTTGTCGTCCGACATTTCCGTGTACCCGATAATGTTAAAGTGGCGAATGAAGCGGGGCGTGATTGGGTTGCGGCCGCCGCCGGGTGGACCCATCGACGCCACAAACACCACGTCGACAATGTTGCGGAAGACGAGGAGCTTGCGGTCGTACCACCCGCCTTGGTCGAACCACTGACGGAGGATCTCGATGG